ACCAGCACGGACAACCCACATGGACACTGGCACAGACACGGACATCGGGATTTGCATGGACACCGGCACGGACACGAGCACGGAAACCCGACACGGACACTGGCACTGACAATGGCATGGACACCAGCACAGACAATCCGCATGGACACTTGCACGGACATCGGCACGGACATCGGCACGGACACCGGCACGGACACTGGCACGGACACTGGCACGGACACCAGCACGGAAACCCGACATGGACACCGGCACGGACACCGGCATTGGCACGACACGGACACTGGCAACGGCATGGACACCGGCATGGAAACCTGACACGGACACCAGCACGGAAACCCGGCACGGACACCGGCACGGACACTGGCACCAACAATGGCACGGCCATCGGCATTGGCACGGACATGGGCATGGAAACACGGCACGGACACCGGCAACGGCACGGAAACCCGACACACAGACCCCCATTGGTATGGCACGGACACTGGCACCGACAATGGCACGGACACCAACACGGACAACCTGCATGGACACTGGCACGGACACCGGCAAGGACACTGGCACGGACACGGTCATCGGCATTTGCACGGACACCGGCACGGACACGAGCACGGAAACCCAACACGGACACCGGCACGACAATGGCACGGACACCGGCATTGGTACGGGCACCGACACTGGCACCAACAATGGCACAGACACGGCATGGACACCGGCACAGACACCAGCACGGAAACCCAGCACGGACACCGGCACCGACACTGGCACCAACAATGGCACGGACACGTCCACCGGCATTGGCACGGACATCGGCATGGAAACATGGCACGGACACCGGCAACGGCATGGACACCGGCACGGACACCAGCACGGAAACCCGGCACGGACACCGGCACCGACACTGGCACCAACAATGGCACGGACACGGCCACCGGCATTGGCACGGACATCGGCATGGAAACACGGCACGGACACCGGCAACGGCACGGAAACCCGACACAGAGACCCCCATTGGCATGGCACGGACACTGGCACCGACAATGGCACAGACACCAGCACGGACAACCCACATGGACACTGGCACAGACACGGACATCGGGATTTGCGCGGACACCGGCACGGACACGAGCACGGAAACCCGACACGGACACTGGCACTGACAATGGCACGGACACCAGCACAGAAAATCCGCATGGACACTTGCACGGACATCGGCACGGACACCGGCACGGACACTGGCACGGACACCAGCACGGAAACCCGACATGGACACCGGCACGGACACCGGCATTGGCACGGCACGGACACTGGCAACGGCATGGACACCGGCATGGAAACCTGACACGGACACCAGCACGGAAACCCGGCACGGACACCGGCACGGACACTGGCACCAACAATGGCTCGGACACGGCCATCGGCATTGGCACGGACATGGGCATGGAAACACGGCACGGACACCGGCAACGGCACGGAAACCCGACACAGAGACCCCCATTGGCATGGCACGGACACTGGCACCGACAATGGCACGGACACCAGCACGGACAACCCGCATGGACACTGGCACGGACACCAACACGGACAACCTGCATGGACACTGGCACGGACACTGGCACGGACACCGGCAAGGACACTGGCACGGACACGGTCATCGGCATTTGCACGGACACCGGCACGGACACGGAAACCCAACACGGACACCGGCACGACAATGGCACGGACACCGGCATTGGCACGGCACGGACACTGGCACCAACAATGGCACGGACACCAGCACAGACAATCCGCATGGACACTTGCACGGACATCGGCACGGACACCGGCACAGACACTGGCACGGACACCGGGACAGGCACGGACACCGGAATTGGCACGGACACCGGCATTGGCAAGGACACCGGCAAGCAAACCCGGCACCGACACCGGCACGGACACCAGCACGGAAACCCGACATGGACACCGGCATTGGCACGGCACGGACACCAGCACAGACAATCCGCATGGACACTTGCACGGACATCGGCACGGACACTAGCACGGGCACGGGCACTGGCACCGACACCGTAATTGGCACGGACACCGGCATTGGCATGGACACCGGCAAGAAAACCCGGCACGGACACCAGCACGGAAACCCGACATGGACACCGGCATTGGCACGGCACGGCACGGACACTGGCAACGGCACGGACACCGGCATGGAAACCTGACACGGACACCGGCACGGAAACCTGAAACGGACACAGGCACGGAAACCTGGCACGGAAACCTGACACAGACACCGGCACGGAAACCCGGCATGGAAACCCGGCACGAACACCAGCACGGACACCAGGACGGAAACCCGACATGAAATGAAATATTTAACCGGCAAGGCTTTAAAGCACGTGCAAATAATGAACAGTTGTGATTTGCAGTGTAACTCGACCTCTGCGTTGACATTTGATGTGAATGTACGTTGCGTCCCTGATAGCACACGTACATCACAGAGACGTCTATTTGATGTGTGGTTCTGGAAAAATTATTTTTTAGAGTGTTTGCTCATCTGCAACACGTCTATAGGACGTTTCCTGTCAGATGTCAAATAGACGTTTAGAAGATGTCTTTAACCCTCTGGGGTTGTTCGTTTAACAGTCACACTTGGGGTGTTCGGGTCCAAATGGACCCAACGGGCAGGATTCATATTTAAAAAAAAAAAAATCATAATTTTTTTCTTCTTGTTTTTATAAAAAAAAATATTTTCTTTTTTGGTGTTTTGAGATATTTTATGATTTATAATTAATATTTATGCAATAATTATGACCCATTTTTTCCCATTGAACATAATAGATTTTTATTATTATTATTATTATTTTTTTTTTATCAAAGCTGTATTACATTTTAGAGTGAAGCCTAGGCCTCATGAAAGCAATTTTTGAAAAAATATAGATGCCATCTGGTGGACACACTGAGCATTTTTATCACGCAATAGCACATTTTTACCACTAGTGGATTTACAGCTCTCTGTAGAAAGGCTTGGGGATTCTAGTGATTTTTGCAAATATATACCAATTTTTTTTCAGGTTGTTGATTTTTAAAATATAATAACAGATTCTCAAAGATTATTTTTGTCTTGTTTTTTGTTTGTTTGGTTGGTTTAAATGGTAATTTGAAGTGCCAGTTTTACTTCATAATACAGATTATTATAAATATATAATACAGTGTGTGTGTGTGTGTGTGTGTGTGTGTCTGTTTTGCACTCTTGATGTTTTAGAGATTCACCCCTTCACCGTTGAGTCATTTTTTCTGCATTTTTACAACCACTTAGACTATTCAAATAGACTATTCTATAGTCTGTGTTTTCATATTGAATAATCCGTGTTTTCATATTTTTGACAATTTCACATTAATTTCCTATGGGGGTCCATTTGAACCCGAAGGTCCTGAGTTTGACTTTTTTTTTTACAACCACTTAGACTATTCAGATCCTGTCCCCATTTTTTTTGTGTGTTCACATACCTAATACCATAAAAGTCACCTAGTTTCGTAACATTCCGATTAAGCTGTGATTTTTAACATTTTTTTATTTGAATGATTCGGGTCCATTTGGGCCGAAAAACCCCAGAGGGTTAAGATGTAATGATTTAGAATGTATGTTAAACTGACATCTTAAAGATGTCTATCAGATGTTAGTAAACAGCAGATGCTTTCCAGATGAAGTGATCTTTAACAGACATCTTGCAGACGTACGTGTGCTATTTGGGGTTGTACAGTGTTGGGACGGAGGCCCCAGAACTGCAAATAGAATAGGATACTGTAGAACGATACTACGAGATTTCTTCAAAAAGCAGATCGTGGACACATTTTAATCGTCCACGATAAAAAAATCGCGATATCGCACACCTTGCTTCTTTTTTTAGTCTATGGATCAAACTCTTAGGTCTGTTTAATTTAATGTAGATAAAGTCCATGGCGGTCTTAATCCTGTCACCTGCGTTATTAATTCAATAGCCCCCAGCATCACATAAAAAAGATGAATCCCTTAATACGCTGATTGTCATTCATGATTAGTCAAATAATTTGCATTGAGTCGTTTGATAGCAGGGGCCACAAAGAAGCCTGATTAGCATTGGGTATATTAAGACCACACAGTCGACAAAGTTCAGGGAACCAGACACAAGCAAAGTGTATATTATCCGAAAATAATACTTACATGTTTCTTATCATACGTCAACTTCAATCAGGCAGAGAGCGTCAATCCAACTTATACTGTCTTTTCAATAGCTCTTATGAAATTCTGATGCTAACTTTTTTTGCATTTGCTGTGCAAAGAACTTGACTAAATTTATCTTAAGACCAGTAGATTTTCAATGGATTTATTTGAAAAATACACACCATTCACATATGCTTCCTTTCCTCTTTGTACTTCATTACAAAAACAATACAAACTGCAGAAAGATTCAGACTATACAGACACCAGAGATATGAGGTTAGCATGACATTGCACAAGATTCTCAAGAAGTCAAGCTTCCTCTATGAGGCACAGAATGTAGATCTGGTTAAAGTTCATTGAACCAATGTTCAAGAGGCAAATGACAGGCATCTAAAGCATAATGAGTAAAAACTGAAATAACAGCTGAGCACAACGTATATAAATATTAAGGTAACTCTTTACAATAGCCTTTTATTAACATGAACTAACAATGAACAATAACCATGTAAGATTAATAAATGCTGTAAAAGTTATGTTGATTTCAAAATTTACTAACACATTATTAAAATCAAAAGTTGTATATTTGTTAACAATACACTGTGAACTAACATAAAGAAACAATGAACAGCTGGATTTTTATCAACTAACATTAACAAAGATGAATAAATACTGTAACAAATGCATTGCTCATTGTTAGTTCAAGTTAGTTAATACATTAACTAATGTTAACAAATGAGACCTTATTGTAAAGCGTTACCAATATCAAAAATTCAAATGATTCAAAAATGTTTTTTTAAATGTTTCAATGAAAACAATCCAACATTGCCAAGTTGGTTAGGTATATTGATTTCAAAATGTGAGTTCTTTTTTTTCTGATTTGTACACAAATCGCACATTCATTTAGTTAGGGCCCATATGACCATATTATGTCAAGACTTGTTTTAAGAGAAATGTCAAGTGTTTGATGTCACTGTCAATTGGAGTTGGCTTAGTACCATCTCACACTTCTGGTACGAGTACTGAAATTCACAACACATGACAAATAAGAATGAACACTTAAGTTTTGTTTGGGTGTTGCAAATGGAAAAAAAAAAAGATAAGGTTCCTCAAACACTCAGCCCAAATGAGAGCACTACAATAGAGAACAGCAACACAGAAGCCCTTTAAGGCAGGAAATGGGCCTCATCCTGTGGTGGCTGGTGAGTTCTGGAGAATTTCCAAAGATCAGTAGCTCAGCTCACAGTGGAGGCAAACCCACAAGTGATGAGTGCTTGATTCTGTACAAATTGCTTATAAGTAAAGAAAGGTACACACTTCACTTCTTGAAATATATCACTTATATAAGTCAGCAATACAAATGCACTTTTTTCCTTTTCAGGCAACTGGTACCAAAATACTTATAAAATTACTTTTTCGTGTACAATTTAATTTATACTGATCATGTATAGATTTACTAAAACCTATGAAAATATTATTTGGTTATTTCAAACTTGTGACCCTCAAATTAGTCCTTTTATTATTGATTATCTTAAGCCTCAGAACCTAATTTAGGGTTGTTTTAAAATCTAACAGATATGCAAAACAGAAATAGCAATTTGTTTGAAAATCTGTAGCTTTGTAAATGACACTGCAAACAGCTAAAGACTTTAGCTGGAACCTGATACAACATTTCTTTTAGTATATATATATACTGTGTGCAATATATAGTAATAGTATACCATGTACAGCTGTGCTAAAGTTGAAGTGTAGGCCATCTGTTACTTGCAGAACGTTCATAATAAATAACGACCTTTTGCTCTTTCAATGCAAACAGCTCAGAAAGAAATCTGCAGTACTGCTGCATTTGTCATTGTGCTTAAGTCTAAGTCCATTTGCAGAGCTGATGGGACACCCGAGGCTGTGCCGCAGATCAGCCTGTGGTGAGATCGGTGCCAGCAGTCTCCAAAGTCTCAGCAATTTCACCCAACTCGTCTTGAAGCTCTGTGAAAGAGGGTCTCCGGAAAGCCTCTATCTGCATGAGACAGAACAGACTTTCAGATGGTAATGCATAACATCCTTTTACAGGGAACAGGGTTTGTTAGCTTTTAAGCATAACTGATAGAGGAAATGAGTGTCCATTTTTATACACACAAAAGGTCACTTACCAGACAGCAGCTGGCTGCCAGCTCCAAAAGATGCTGAGGACACCCACTGACCATTTTCCTGAACGCGGACACATCCAGGCCGTAATCCTGCCACACACACACAATCATAAATGCATACTTGGTAGATTTTATGAAAAAAAATAAGGTGCTTCTGATACTGGATGTGGCATTCAATCGTGTCAATAATGCTATTTATATTCACCCGTGTTCTTGGAAGGATTTCTGGGTCTGCTGGGATCCTAGCCAGAATTTCACACAGAACAATTCCAAAAGAGAACACATCCACCTAACATTACATAAAGCAAAATCATCAAGCGAGAACAACCAATGCTTTAAAACACTGTGTTCACAGGAGCACAATTTCACATCTTGTTCTGGCATTTTTGAGTCATCACCTTGCGGTCGTAGGGCTCCCCGCGCAGCATCTCAGGGGCCATCCAGAAGGCGGAGCCCACGAGTGAAAGCTTCCTGTCCTTTGCAGGAAGTTCTACCACCTCTCGAGCCAGACCAAAATCAGTCACGAGCGCTTCTCTGCCCCTCGTGGTCACCCTTATTAGACAATTCTTTGGGAGACACAAACATACTACAGTAAAAATATAATACAGTAAAAACAGTAATATTGTCAAATATTATTACAATTTAAAATAACTCTTTTCTATTTTAAAATGCAATTTATTCCTCTGAAGACTAGAGTAATGATGCTGAAAATACAGCTTTGCCACCAGTGTCACATGATCCTTCAGAAATCATTCTAATATGCTGATTTGGTGCTCAAAAAACATTTCTTATTATTACCAAAGTTGGAAATAGGTGTGCTGCTTCACATTGTTTATTATTATTTACATATTTTGTTTCAGGACAAAGTTCAAAAGAACAGCATTTATTTGAAATATAAATCTTTTGTAACCTTATAAATATATTTACAGTCACTTTTGATAAATGTAATGCTTTCTTGCTGAATAAAAGTATTCATTTCTTTGAAGACTTCAAACTTTAAAACAATAGAGTACATGGCATTAGATTTGCTAATAAATAACTGCATGTTATGAATTAATATTAACTTTCCTTTTAAATAATGAGGTCATATATGTCATTAAATTATTTTAAATCAAATATACCAGATATAGCAAGGAAAAACAAAATGCTTAAATTTTAAATAACCACATTCTGGGTTACAGAATAATTTTAAAGTGAGTGTTTTTCCTTCACTGCCAAAAGGGGGCAGCAAAAACTCGCATAAAGTTTCATGACTCATTCTCAATCTTCTCCAAAAACTCTTACACAGCATATCCAAAATCTAAATGCATAATATCACATTTATATAGCAGACATTTAAAATACAGTGTCTAAATAAACACAAACTAAAGGTTTGAACCTGTGCAGACTGACTTGACTGTGGACTTTTAGTTTCAACGTAAACTAAATACATAAGGTAAATGGCATCTAAATGCAACACAGTTCAAATGCATTTACATTTAGCAGACGCTTTTATCCAAAGGGACTTACAAATGAGAACAATAGAAGCAGTTAAACTAACAATAGGTCAACAATATGCAAATGCTATGACCCTTCCCAGTTTATCTAACGCAGTACGTGTACTTTTTTTTTTAAAGATAATAGATATAGAATAGAAGATAAAGTGTTAGTATTAATGGATCAAGTGTTGCCGAAAAAGATGCCTCTTCAGCCGTTTCTTGAAAATGGTCACGGACTCCGCAGCTCTGGTTGAGTTGGGCAGGTCATTCCACCAGCATGGAACAGACCAGAAAAAGGTCAGAGAAAGAGATTTTGTGCCTCTATGAGATGGCACCACAAGACGGCGTTCACTTGCAGAGCTTTAAAATGCATAAAATGCATAAATAGGATACATGACAGCCATTTTGTTCTTTATTATCTGTAGCATGTAATGTGCCTTTGGAGACAATGTGCTTAGCAGCGGAAGCAAAACTCCCAGGCTCAAATTTAATGAATTAATCAGCTGACCCTGTACCTCGCCAAAGGGTCTGGACCAACTACAACTCCTCTCCTCCATCTCTCTAACACCCCTGGGGTACCAATATGCAATGTTATACCTCACTTTCAGTTTGAATGGTCTCTAGCGATGATGTGTCATGGCTACAAGCATACCATTTAGTCTGAATATCAGTTTAAAACTAAATTATTGTGGGTATAATAAAAATGGGCTGTTATTTTAGAGGAAAGGCAAATGAGGAGACACTGAAGCTGACCAGAGTAAGGGGACTCCAGGTACAACCGAGACGTTACATAAGACCAGTGGGAATCTTGGAGAAGAAAGTGCTGATGGATAAAACAGTAAGTTCTGCATCTGGATTGAATTAGAAACCTCAGCTAAGCCTCCATCCCAAAAACTGACCTATGATTACAGGACTAAGAAAACTCCAAGCACAGCCCTGAGCCTAGAAGCCTCCAAATTTAGAGCAGTAGCTCATGCATATGCCAAGTGTTGCAACACCCTTTGGCTGAGCAGCTAATGGGTGGGTTTAAAAGAAAAGTACTGAGGTTGCTGTTTGACTCAATATGAAAAAATAAAAATTCTACATTAAAAAAGTGTTTTTTTTTTATATATAAATGATAAGATAAAAAAGATAAGATAAAATGATTTAGATAAAAATGATAAATACTACATTTTATAATAAATAATAAACTAATACATTTTGTTAAGCACTGTACACAGACATTAAATGTTTTATTATCTTACATGTATTTGTGTATCTCTAGCAAATGTGCATATGAATCTCTTTGCAAATGTTTGATCCCATATTTAAATCCTGTAGTTCTGTAACACTTTGTGCCATTCAGCTTGATGAACCCTTTCACCTCCTCTAAATGAATGTTCCACAAGCTCTTAAAAACACCAGCTTTAGGGAAGAAGTCAACTGTAATAGCTTCTATTTTCTGACATCTTCCCACAGTCAAATGCCAGTGGAAACCAATCAATGATCCCTCTAACCGATGTGCTAGATGTCACGGTTGTGTAAACCGTGTGGCTGGCATTTTTGTTTGCTCATTGTTCATATCTGAATAGCTGACAAATAGGCAGTGGCACAGAGACGAGGGTAAGGGGGGGGGGGGGGGGTGTCTGCGAGCCTATACACTGTTTGTGCATTTTGCATTTTCAAATGAGATGGGAAGGGTTGGGGAGAGAGTGTGTATGTGACAGAAAGACTGAGTGGGAGAGTTTATTACCATCACAGTGGACTGGCCTTGTTGCCTCGCCCTTCACCCCAGGTTTGGTGAGCACTTCTGTGAATCCTGGCAACCAATGACACTCTGACGCAAACATCTATGTCTGCTGTATTTCTCAGGGGAGAATTCCATGTAAAGACTAGACAACCATTCTCTGACATCTGATGATTGCTGTTCGGTTATATTATCTATGCTTTCCATTCTCATTTTATATGTACCGTCTGTTCGTCACTAAAGATGAGTGCGATTAAGAGTCCTGCTGTACCTTAGAGTTCAGATCTCTGTGATAGATGTTCTTGTAGTGGAGGTAAATCATCCCTCTGGTGATGTCAGAGGCCAGGTCAACTTTCTCTCTCCAGCACAGAGGCATGTCTTTCCTGGCCAACAGCTCCTCTAAACATCCTCCACTGACGTACTGTCAAGAGAAACACAGTCAGAGAGGGAAAGAAACAAACAAACACTTTCACTTTTATTCTTATATTTATGTGCAGGTCTCAACAATAAGGAAGTCTCTAGGGACAGTGTAATGTAATACAAATATAAAATAAAACAAAATGATAAAAACAAAAGGTAAAGTTTATATAAAACAACAAAATATTTTCCACTCCTTAGCTCTATTTGTTTCATATGTAGAAATGTCCTGTTTGATTTTGCATGTAATGAAAGCTGATTAATATTTAATAATTAAATGTTGCATTAAATTAAATGTTATATGAATTTTATTATTTATTAATTATTTTTCAATATCTAACATTTAATTGTTTTTATCTAATATGTGATTAATTATTGGTAGTAAATAGAGAAATGTCAAATATAACTATTTTCTGAAATGTATATATTAGTGGCAGAGAAAGCAGAAAAAAAAATCCATATTGTTGGGCCCTGATAAACAAATGCAAATCACATGTGCAATTACAAAGCATCATATCTTTGGGACATTTCTAAGCACACTAAAATGCATAAAATAAATTCAAACTGCGAAACAAACCATTTCATTTTGAGGCTAAGATGGAGATCTCACCTCCAGAATTGGGTACAGCTTGTCCTCTTTGACACAAATACCCAGATACCTGAAAAAAAGAGATGAAAGAGGTGGATACGAGCCATCGGTATGACATGTTCCCTAAAATTGCAATGTTGAGCAAGTTAAAAGACAGTCCAAATCATTTGTCAAATGCTCAACAAATGTATAGAAATGGTAAGTTACTTTGAGTAAAAAAGTTATGTTCAAGCATTCATTTGTCATCACTAATATATTAGAGAACCATGAATCAGTGAAGCAATGAACATGGGTAAACGTAATATTTCACAATCATGGTGACCTCATTTGGTTCAGCAGTTCTGTTCATGGGTAAACACGACTGTCATCTGTAATATGTTGATGACAGCTGGCAGTGTACATTTATCTCAACTTTCCAGACAGTTTTGAATATGGCTCTGTCCTTCCATAACGCACTGGAAAAAAAGCCATTCTGAGATTTCTTAGACAAACACACGTCACAGTGCAGGATTAATAGCAGTTTAACAGTGCTGTGCTGGACAGGGCTTGGTGTGACTTCTAACCTTTAACAGGCTTGTCAGAATTCTTCAAAATCTTGTATAGTATCTTGCATTTTAATCTAAGGTCATATATGTACACATACATTACCAGTTAAAGTTTTGGAAACACCTACTCAAACTTCACGATTACAGTTTTCAACAGTTTCAGAATAATAGTATAGGCAAAAAAAGGCTAATTCATTAATTGCAAGCCTTAAAGCAAAATACTTTAGAATAGATTAAAAGGTTTTAAGATAACACAGTACAACCAGTCCAGTGGGTCTAAACTTTTGACTGATAGTGTAAATACACAGTGTACATAAAAAAGGAGAATGGAAAGCAAAAATAATAAAACCGAATATCAACAGACCTTTGTCAGGGTTAAAAAAAAACAAAACAAAAAAACTCCTTTCTGTAGACAATAGTTATATGCTATAAATATTATTTAACCCTCTGGCCCTCTTTGTTTAGGGGTCACACTTGGCTTCTTCACGGTCAAAAGTGACCGAAGCCTTGAAATGTAACTTTTTTCCAGGAAAACCAATATAATATATTTCTGCTCAATAATATTTTTTGATTATTATTAGAATTTTTAGGGGATTTTAAGATGCTTTGCAATATTTATAATTAAAAAAAAAATCACTATTAAAAAATAAAAATGTACATTAATTTACTAAATATATTTTTTATTATATTTCAATTAAACCAGTATTCCATGTTATAATAGAGACAAGGCCAATTTTGAAGGTAGATTAGTAGCATCTGGTGGGAGTAAATAAAGAAAAACTTATGAAATGCCATGGTGTAACCACTAGATGCCTGTATAGTTCTATATAAAGTGGCTAATAAATATTTTTGTGGTTTTTAGAAATAAATACTTATTTTTAAGGATTTGGATTTATACTTAGACATTCTTTTTGTCAAGGTTTCGATAAATTTTTATTATGTTGATTTGAAGTGTCAGTTTTTGCATTCATTTTACTACAGTTAAACCTGAACACAGAGGACATTTTGTAACACATAGCATCAAAATTCAATAAAAATGTAACAAAACTGAACAGGTATGCTTTATCACAGCTTAATCAATCTGGGTCTGATCTGATTTCAACCTCTTATTTGAGTCTTTTGGCTCAATTTTACAATATTGTTACAGCCACACCAGTTCATTTGTGCGTGTATAATAATGTGTTGTGCGTGTCTGTGCAAGGATATGTGTGGGGTGAGGGGTGGGGGGATGCGTCTATTTTGGATGTATTAGATATATTGATATTTATATATTGAGTGTCACCCTTTTATGCTGTGCACTGTTTTCTGCACAGTGGCTGATTTGTAGTTGTACCAAAGGATTCTCTGAGTTTTTTTAATATTTTTTTTTTAATTTCCAATTAATGTCGGTCTATTCCTGACCGTGAAGGAGCCAAGTGTGATTTTTTTTTTTTACCCTTTGACATATCCGAATCATGTCCTTGATTATTTATTTTGTTCACATAGCTAATGCGACAAAAGTCTCCAAGTGTCATCCCATTCTGATGAAGCAAAAAATGATCATCATATCATGAATAAATCAAAAAATGTATTAATTCAGGGATACCTCACTATGTTGGGGTGTGAGAGTTTCTGCAGAAGGCTGATTTCTCTTACAATGCTGTCCTGATCAACATCATTCTTATAGATCTTTACTACCATCACCTTCCGTGTGGTGTTGTGGATGACCTGAAAATAAAGTAAAGTGACAATAAAATGAAAAACAGAAGAGAGGGGAAGGGAATGAATCCTAAAGAGGTATTAAAACATTCCGATCGCTCTCTACAGTACAATCAAAGAGCAAAGCTTCCATGTTAATATACAGGAAGGGACAGAACTGCTGAGACAGTTGAGCTGTGCAATCATCGCTTATGTAATTTACACAGCAGGGACTCATCAGGAACCCATTAATGGGTATGGTGTACTCGGCACAAGGGCCACCTCAAACTGGGCTTAGCTGACAAATATGTCCTAATTAGTAGGACTACAATACTGCACTGTATGAGTGCCATTCAAATACACACACAAATATATACAGCACACTGGGAGACCTTCTGCACTACAATAGGATGATTACAAGTAATTTCCATTAAGATTGAATTTTTCACTCTTCTTCATTCTTGTTGATGGACTTCACTATGAAACATTTATGATAGAATTGTGTAAAATATTATGCAATAAAATTGAGTAACAAAATAAATCAATATGCATGAGGTAGTTAAAAGTGTACACTGCTTTTTTTGTTGCGAAAAATGACAATGTGTTAAAGGACTAAGCAGATAATTCATGACTGCCAAAATTTCTTAGCACCTACTGCACATATATTATTAAATCACAGACAGATTCATGTCATCAGATTCAAGATATTTTGAGCATTACCTTGTAAACCTTTGAAAAAAAGCCACTGCCAATCAGCTCATGTGTAAAGTTTTCCCAGAACTCTAGCTTGCGGACGGCTGTGCGTAGCTTCTGCCAGCGGTCCACATGGCAGTATGTATCAGAAGACTCTCTATACAGCGTCGGGCTGGTGGGCTCAGACGAAACGTCCACCTCACACATCCTGGAGATCTCCGCTGAGAACCGAACACACAAAGTGTTGAGAGAAACACCAAAGCTTTCCACAAGGAGTGCTTAAAGGCAATTCAGTGATAGAATACGATGTTAAAAAAAGTCTAACATTTACTGAAAAACGTGTAATAATCTTTTAAATCAAAGAATTCTTTGTGAAATGCCTCTTTAAATATTTATCAAGCAAGCGCAAAGCTTAAACTGCCAAATAATTAGTAGCTGGTTTCTAAAGGAAGCAGTGTGTGTATGTATGAAAGTGAAGCTCTTGGTTTGAAGCTCATACAGCGAGTACTGGATTAGCTCAATGAGTAGGAAGGCTCTCGTCTGCTGCAGCGGGGTATAAAAGTGACAGAAGAACGATGTCTTAAAATAGCCATGGACAGCATGCAGATAAAGATTCATGCAGGTGAATGATGGACTGTTCTTGATCAAAACACAAATGAGACCTCAACAACTTACAAAAAAAATGTACTGCTGAGACTCATTGAGATACATTTAAAAGGTTAGTTCACACAAAAGTGAAAATTCTGTAATCATTTACTCATCTTCTTGTAACTCCAAACTCTTTCGTAAATGAAAAAAGGTGATATTTAGAAGAATGCACAGTCTGATCTTTTATCAGAAGAACACAGTGACCACAGACAATAGGGATATATTTATTTATATTGTGTTTTATGTCCTTTTTGGAGCCCATTGACACTTTGCTGAGTTTAACTGCATACAGCAAAAGCATACAAAGGAAGTCATATGGGTTTTGAACAACTTGAAGATGAATAAAATGACAATTTTGATTTTCACTTTAACTGCCTATCGTAAATGGTAAGAAGGCTTTTAAACAATGTAATGTACCGCTCAAAAGTTTGAGGTCAGTGAGATTTTTCTGCAAGAAATTATATTTCATTATATATTCATTTTTTTTTTTGTGTGCAATTCCTCCAAAAATATTAAGCAACACAACTGCAATAATAACAAGAAATGTTTCTTTAGCACTAAATGAGCATTTTACAATGATTTCTGAAGGATCATGCAACTGAAGACTGAAACAATGGCTGCCAAAAACTCGTGAAAAGAGTTATTTGTAATGCTCTTTCATAATATCAGTTTTTATTGTATTTTTAACAAATAAATGCAGCCTTGAAGAGCATAGGAGACTTATATATTATATACTGTATGGGTTGGAAGTCTGACTCAAACCGACACAGGATATTTGCAACATGAAACAGACAGTGTCGCACATTACTGTGGTTGAGCAAATTCAGCAAAAATATAAACGATGAAAAACAAAACTCTGGGTAAAAAAAAAAAAAAAAATTACACAGTATAAACTCTAGTAAAACAAGTATTCTCTAATATCTAAAAACACAATCAGCAGCACTAGGTTAGTGTCAGTTCACTCTTGGTTCATATAATATCTGGGGTCTAGACTTGTGCTTGCAACTTAATGCATCAGTATTTCCATGTTGGGGAGACACTGAGAATAAAGTGGGGCGTTGAAGTCAATGGGGACTGTCATCACAGCCCAATGATGCTGCCGGGAAACAGCACGGAGTGGCACGCTTACACAACCCGCCGGGCTTTGTCACTTAAGCGGGAATCATCTAGCGGTATTCATCAAGGGTACAGCGCACACATGCAGTCTTTGTGTTTCCAGCAGCAGACGCACAATCACAGCCCTTTCAGTTTTACAACCTCACTAAAAAGCTAAATGCTTAGAGTGCAATCCTAACTCGTCTCTTCCATCCACCATTTGCTATACTTAGGCTAATGCCAGAATGATAAATAAAAGACTCCAAGAGTGACTTTAGACTTTTGGAGGTTCCTCTAGTCTAAAGCTTTTGTGTACGCTTACAATACAGACTCACTATTTTTGACATCAGACCTCAAATGAAGTTTGAGTACATGATGGTACATTCAGAAAATAATGACAATAATCAAATAAAACATATCCCAGGGAACATCCTAGTACAGACTGATTTATAACAGCTGACATCTCCACTGGAGTTCAAGCATGCAAGCTGATTTAGTTTTAGACAAACCACAAGTTAACATTACAGTGATAAAATTCACTAAAGGAAGGGGTTTCAACCTCCCATTTACTCTGGGAGGAAACAGCCGCTATCTAAGTGGAAGCTAACGTCTGCCCTCGCATAGGAGACTCAGGGTTTGTGAAATATGCAGGTCAAAAGGAGACACTGACTCAAAGTTTACACAGCACGCAGCACGTCAGAGGATGCCATCATGAGGCCCGCAACCTGCCTTCACATGCACACGAGAGGAAATCAAACCTCAACTTAGACTTTTACAGGAACACTAATGCTTCAGAATGCAGTAATATGACGAAATGAGTTATGTAGAAGCTATACAGGACTAGAAATAATATACATCTCTTATAAAACATTAAAACAGATCTGCTCTTGGTATCAGGTGAACAGTTGTTTGTCTGATCAACACAGGAAGAATGCGGCATGTTTTCAACCTTGAAAGGGGGGGAAAAAAGCCTGAATTTAGATGTTAGTATCACTTTGCATGCAGTTAGATTTCTTAATTGGTCAGATGTTGGATTAATAAAAAAATATGTGATCTTAATATCTAGTTATCATCATCATTATTTAAATGCCTTTATAGTATTTATTAATAATAATACATTTTATTTAAAATATTATGTTTTTCATTTTCAGTAAGTCGGTTGCTTGTCATTTCTATATTTATCTTGAACTTATTTTTTATTTCAGTCTTAGTAATGTAATGCTTCAAATTAGATTTCAGTTAGTTGCCAAGCCAACATTTTTAATTTTAGGTTTTATGTAAGATTCATCATTTTATTTCAACTATATTTCAATTAATGAAAACCATTTAAAAATTTTAGTTAACAATAACACTGATCTTATTTTTTTGAGGATAGAATATGCTATAAGAAAAGGTCAGAAGCAGCAGTAACATTAGAAATGGGTCCTGAACATTCTCAGAAAAGCCTAGGCCAGAACAGAGATGAGAGACCGTGATAAGAACATGCGAGGACGTCACATGATCAAGTCATGAAATTCACACCAAGTAAATCACTTCATACTATTGTCCATAATCGCACCATAATATGCGTCTACACACAACATGCCATCTATTTGTTTTTGTTGCATTCTTTTAATCCACATCACGACAAGTTCTCCCTCTCTCTGCACACGGTTTTCTCATGTGGCTGCTGGGATTGGTGTGAACTGCAGGGGCAGAAGCCGAGGTCTGTTCCAGACTGAATCTGTTGGAGAAGAGGGAGCTTTGGCGTCGCTCCAGAGATCTCCCCCTCACATTCTCTCCCACTCTCTACACTAAACAACATTCAGCACAGTGGCATACCAACCATCAAAAATGTCAGAAGTCTTACTGATGTTTTTCTCTTTTCCATCTCTGCCTGTCTTTTTTTTTTTCTTGGAGTTTTGGGAGCATGTTGAATTGATCAAACTAAATTTAAGCAATTTAGGTACGATGACTAGTCGTAATGATTTCGTTAAGACTGGAGCCCACCTGTCTGGAGGAAAAAAAAATCAATCAAAGGAACAGCAAGAGAAATCTAGTTTCCCAATAATGACTCTGAACAGAGACTGCTTTGTCACAATGATTTGCTGCCTAATAGGCTACATTTGCAAGCAGGGACAAAATAACTGATCCAGAGAAGCTTACAGTATATCTGCTGAACTTATATACGGTATCAGTAATATATAGTATCTAAGCTAAAGCATGGAAAGGCTCCGCTACTATGAAAAATAAACCCTGTGATGAGAGAAGAATGATTTTGCTCTTTTGCAATACATACACTAAAACTATTCAAAAACGAGGCCTAAATAACTACATATTAGGTATTTTGAAACTGTAATATCATACACTATTATTGTCCAAATGTTTAGGGTTGGTAAGATTTTCTTAAATGTTTTTAAAATAAGTTTATTATGCTCACAAGGGCTGCAATTATTTGATAAAAAGTAATATTGTGAAATATTACAATTTATTTGTAAATATTTTAAATCCAAATTTCCTGAGTTTTTTTTAGAACCGAGTTTTCAGCAGCCACAACTCCACCCTTAGTGTCACATGATCCTTCAGAAATCATTCTCATATATTCCGATTTGGTGCTCAAGAAATATTATTTTTTTAACCTTAAATGTTGCTTGTAACTGCTTAATATTTTTAAGGAAAACTTTTGAGGAAATCTTTTTCAGGGTTCTTTGATGAATAGAAAGTTCAAAAGAACACATAATATGAAAAAAAAAATTGTAACCGTCTTTAAAGGGTTAGTTCACCCAAAAATGAAAATTCTGTCAGTATTTACTCACCCTCATGTTGTTCCAACCCTGTAAGACCTTCGTTCATCTTCGGAACACGAATTAAGATATTTTTTATTAAATCTGAGAGCTGGATCACTCCTCCATACTAGTCCATAGGCTTCTTCAGGGATTGAATTTGCCGGCCCCGAAAAGTTATTAAAGACGTCGTTAAAATAGTCCAAGTGACTACAGTGGCTCAACCTTAAGTTTATCAAGCGACGAGAATACTTTTTGTGCGCAAAGACAAACAAAAATAACGACTTTATTTCAACTATTCATTTCCTTCTCTGTGGGCCTCTAATCAGTTAACGTAGTGTGATTGCGTAGAGCTACGTCACACGTAGGCTCACTATTGGCCGACGCTGGTCATGTGCGTGATGCGTGTGACGTACAACAACAGAAGCTTATGCTATTACACTAGTGAACTGACTCGAGGCCCACAGAGAAGGAAATGAATAGTTGAAATAAAGTCGTTATTTTAGGGGTTTTTTGCGCACAAAAAGTGTTCTCGTCGTTTGATAAACTTAAGATTGAGCCACTGTAGTCACTTGGACTATTTTAACGATGTCTTTAATAACTTTTCGGGGCCTGCAAGTTCAATCCCTGAAGAAGCCTATGGAGGAGTGATCCAGCTCTCAGATTTCATCAAAAATATCTTAATTCGTGTTCCGAAGATGAACGAAGGTCTTACAGGGTTGGAACAACATGAGGGTGAGTAATTACTGACAGAATTTTCATTTTTGGGTGAACTAACCCTTTAACTGTCAATTTTGAACAATTTAATGTCCTCTCTGAATAAAAGAATAAGTTTCTTTCAAAACAATAAAAACATATAAATAAACTTACTGACCCCAAACATTTGAACGATAATATATAATATGCATGTAAATGCTGTTGCTTGTATACTACACATCATCCTTTGATTATCCGGTTGTATGTGAGCACTCTTATGTTATCAGAAGGATTCAGTCTCTAATCACACACTTCTTAACTTGTCTCCAAGCACATCTCAAGGTTCGATCAATAAACATCACATACTTCCTATAATCAAAGCAATTATCTTCTGAGGTTTGCTTCTTTTTGTTAGTCTACCCTTGACTTTGACTCCTGACTCTTACAGCATCACATGTTTGTGCTTCACGATTCTGTGCTCAACAAGCATCAACAACTACATACATATATGCTGCATTTAGTAAAGACAAATAAGACAGTATAAAGTGTGGAAATAGAAGGAAGTACTTTTTAGAACAGTCCTTTGCCGTTTTATAGGAGAGAGACAGGACTGGGCAGTGCACTTTTGGAAGGAGATGGGAGGAAAGCTACGTTTTCCTCTCTCACACACCAAAGGGCAGGGATGATCTCAGCTATGTCAACAGGAGGGCACAGACCGAAAGATATAAACTCAAGAATAAAAAATAGTGGAGTACAACACACAAGACAACAACACAATGCCAGAGACAATAACTATGTTTTAACCATGATGGTACTCTATTGCACTGTTGCCTTGTCTGAAACACTCAGTAATGAGACACTGACATGTGTCACAAGACTTCAACTCTGGGGTAGAGCACGTCACTAAAAGCTCTGGGAACATATTCTGACGAATTCTCTTCATGACATTCTCAATGTGAATCCACTAACTTATTCCCAGCCATACTGAGATGAGAAAGGTCAAGTGAGGATTATCAAACCTCTCTATTGAGCCAGGCATCTCTGAGTTGATTGAATACATTAGGCAGAGCAAAGTAGAAAACCTGTTCTTCATGACACATGCAGGTGTACAGAGTAGCAGCATGTTTTTAAGGACAGCTAGCTGTTTCGTGAACAGTATATATATATATATATTTTTTTTTTTTTTTTTTTTTTACAAAACATTGATTAATTCCTATAGTATTGTTACTTACTGCACTGGTTTAATAAGCTATTCATGTGCATCTTGAGGTGGGTGGAGGAGAGGCGTCCGCCGGAGCTCAAAACACAGACAAGCTGTGAAGTGCCTATATGACAGAAGCTATAAGAAAAGGGACACACATAGAAGCAACCATGAACAGAGACACACAAAACATAGAAATGTAACAGAATCAGCAAGGACATAGAAACAGCACACTGAACCGACAAGACATTTTAAAAGCAACAAACTCTGATAAAGTGTAAAATCACATCGCACAATGACAGAGCTCTGAAATAGGCTAGTTCTTGGTGCACATAAGTGTCGCATCATATTAGTCAAAATTTAAATGAGAACAAAATGACAGACGGATGAGTGGGTGGATGCATGGACCAAGATGCGGTTGTTAACCAGCAGAAATGTTTTAAACATGTGCACGTGTAGCCTAGTTTATTATAATTTCACTCACACACACACACACACACACACACACACACACACACACACACACACACCAAGTAGGAAAATAATCAAGGTGCATAACATCCTAGCAATAGCTAGCCTACCCGATAAAAATCAATCTCTTACTCACAGCAAAAAGCACCCCGGCGTCTTCACCTCCGCTGCTGATTGATTGATTGCTCAGCGATCAAATAAAATCGACTACAACCCCCAAACAAGTTCTAGTCGGAGACAAACGGTGACATCGTTTGCTTCTACTGCGCTTCTGTTCTTGAATGAGTCCATTTACCGTCACTCAACCCGACAATCCTCAAATACTGCGAACCCGCTCTCCTTCAGACTTACAACTGCTTAACAGGGTTTAAAGCGGTCTATGTTTAATGGGCTAGGCAGTGTAGTGGGAGCCAGTTGCCATGACGTCATAATTGTTACGTTCAGCCCCACCCACCTGTAGGTCCATGCAGCTTCAAAACCAGTGTGAGCTACTCAGAACTAGTGGTGTGATTTTGTTCAATGACTCGAATATTTTGAATCTCTTCACCAAACAGATTCATTTAGTGACCATTTGCGTGTAGGCTATAGCCTACACAGAGCCCTGGCTATACAAGAGAGACCGTTTTAACTTAAGCGTGTCAACTCCATCGGCATTAATTTAATTAAACTAGGTGACTTGTTCAATTAGTTTATTTTACAAAAACGAAAGTTGTTGAAGGAGATCAAAGTCGCGTTTTTACTTAAACACAATTCAGCGCTTTGCTGTAATCTAATTAACAGACCAATTTTACTATTCCATTGTGGTTTTTTTTAATTTATTTTTTTATAAAGAAAGCCGCTACATTTACGTTGTGGCAACGTTTGTGGCACGTCGCTGTCTACGTGCCCGCAACATAACAACGTAGAATCGTAAGACAGGGCTGTAGCAACGTGCTGTGCGACATCAAAGCCACATCAAAGCAACTGAGAGACTATTCTGACAATTAATTTTTTTTATGCTAGATATAGATATCCCCCATTTAGCATGTTATGTTTTGTAGTTATTTTTAATTAGTCATAGATAATTATATACTTTTTAAATATTGTTTATCCTTATTATTATTTATGGGCCTATAGTAAATTCATTGTAAACACCTGCAAGTGTACACTTTGAAGAGTAAAAATGACAAACGTTAGCTAATTCAACTCTATTAAAACTGCATATGGTAATCAAATTGCACTTCAAAAAGTCATAGGCCTACATTTGTGAGAGAAAAAAAAACATTATATAGGCTACAGGGAGTGGACTAACATTAACTAGCATTAGCAGACATGAGAAAATCTAGCAAAGAAACGAATGAAATGACAAATCAAAGGAAAAGATAAACAGCAGTTAAGCTGTAAGCAGTTACAACCATTTTTTTCTCTCTGCGTTTCCAAAAAAATAAAAAAGAACGGGCTCTGGTTCTGTCAACCATAGATGTATTTATTATGTCTATGCTGTCAACACTGACAACGCTGCAACAACCTTCACTACACAACGTAGTTATAGCAACCTTTTGGCCATGTTGTTAAAACGTTGTTAGAAGGTTGGGTACGTTGTGCCAACGTTCTGCGTTTGCTGGATAAATCATGGTTTGTTTATGTTTGAACAGCTGATTTCCAGGCACAAACTGTACCATAGGCGGTAAATGCAAAAGGCCAATTTACTCAACATGGCCATATAGCAAATAACTATCTGGATTGTAAATATATAAATGTTAAGCATACAACCTTTCAATAAATAATGTCTTTATTTTAGCCTAAATATTCACTACATTTCCTCCGCTCGCTATTATTAGGGAATTAGCGCCCCCGTCTGTATAAATTACGCACCAGAATCTTTGCGGTTTGCAAACAGTTCAAAATTTAGGCTTAATAGGCCTTCCCTTGCGGAAACAGACAATAATCACACATTTTATCAAAATAATAAATATTATTTTTATTGTTTAAAGTGCATGGGTGGTAACTCTTTTAAAATCACATTTGCTACGAATTATGTTTCATGACAGAAGCACAAGCATACTCAGTTTAAATCATGGTTTAAATAAATGCAACTGCAATCCGATTAATAAAATAAATTGCTGATATATCTTTAAGGGTCGCTCTAATTTTAAAGGGCACATAAAACAGCCAATCAGCTGTCTTTTACATTTTAAAAACAGACCAAATAGATTTTTATATTACTTCACACACTATAAAGAAAAAATCCTGAAAATAGCACAACAGGCATCCCCACTTCTTGAGGACTCTCCCATCTTCAGGAATTACCCATTTCACACATTACTCAGTGTTTTTACTCTTGCTTTCTGGAGGATGATGCCACAGCAAGCATTTGGCAGAAAAAAAAATGTATTTTTGTAATTGTTTCTGTTATCTAAGGAAGTGTTTTTCACATCACCATTTCCATGTCCTATTAATTTATTTATGTATTATGTATTTATGTATGGAAGTGTTCTTAGCCATTTGAAACTGTATTTTGTTCTCTCTTGCATGTGTAAGTGCTGAATCACAGCTTGTTTAAGAAATGGAGTGTACTTCTAATACAATTTTAGGATTTTAGTTTGATGAAGGTGAATAGTCTGTATCAACATGTAGATGGAGACTTCTGAAAGTCATGCCAAATGCGGAGAAGATTCTGTGGATTAAAGCCATTCACTACAATGCGCTTGGAAAAAGTGCACCTTTCATAACTAAGCCTGCGCACCTCAAAAAGATTCCTAAGTCCCAGAAATCGTGTTGCGTAAACTGGTTTTACACCCAGGACTTGAAGGCACATCCCCACATAAACATCTTCGAGTGGAATTGGCAGCACAAATCTAGAGGCCCATAATATTTTTCTGGCCAGGTCAGTGGAAAAGACATATGCAGCTCCAGACACGTATGGAGGATACCAGGTGTCTGGGTAAAGATCCTCTGGGATATACCATTTGTTGTAACTGTCCCTGTGAGGAACAGCATCTGAGATGACCGATCCAGTGATGTAGTCTTTCCTTGAGGACTTGTCTTGACCATGCAGGTAGTCCACCAGGTATCGCACATTGAGAAAGACATCTGCATCGATCTTCATGGTATACCAGGCACCCTGGCAGTAAGTGGCTATCCAGTTCATAATCATCATTGTCTTGATTGTGAGATTATGGTAGCTGTCCACAAAGTCCATTTGAATAATGTCACCATATTCATTGCTCTCCCTCTCAATGTGCTCCTGCAGTACTGGGTCGCTTTGTGCGGGCTGACCAACGACAAACAAATGCAAAATATCCACACCAGGAATCAAGCCATGTTGGCCCCATGTCCTTCTAATAGCAGTCCTAGCCTCTCTGCTTTTGAGAGTCACTGGGATCATAAGAACCAGGAAAGGACTCTTCTTCTCACACAGTTCTGGCTGGTTCAGAATGAATCTGTATGTTGACGGTGAGATCACATCATGGAGCTTTTTAGGTGTTGGAGTCTTCTTCGGAAGAGATGGCCAAAGTAATGTGTCGTTGAAAGCAAAGATAACTAAAAGCGTTATTAATCCAGCGACAGCTAGGTATTTTAAAAGTTTAAACCGCGATCGCTTCCGCATATTAACACCCAATAAAAACTTCATCGTCCCACACATGTGGGACAGTTACAAAACTTGAATGTTTGACGAAAGGTAATTTTGCGTAAGGCTAAGATACATGGGTTTGTTTGGCAGAAGTTACCAACCCTTCTTGACATGTGCAGTTTAACTTGCTGACTCACTTTTAAAGTAGCTGCTAAAACAACTTAAAAAAAATTCTATCGGTTTTATCTGGACGTAATTAACAAGATAAACCAGCTAGCTCTAAAGGTTATTTTTTTGTTAATATTTATCATGTAGCAGCTATACAGTATCACCGGGGAGTGTTTTCCGGAGTTGCCAGATTACTCTAGCAGAAGAGAAACAATGATTGAATAAAGACAGACATTTGCTTGATTTTGAATTCACGATTAAGTTATTGAGTTTCTTCATTTAAAATGTTAAAGAAACCCGCACAAATAATTACAAATCAGGCGATAAACACTCCCTAATTTTCTCCTCCAATCTAAGCGCATTTTCCTCGCCCACCCTGGCAACATGATTTTACGAGAACCTCACTTGAGATGTGCCTCGCCCTGGAATTCAGCCGAGGCGAGTCTAGTGCAGGGCAGGCACGTTCTCGCATCAGACACCTAGTACGGTGGCCGAGAGAGCTCAACGCGCTGCAACTGAAAAAAACACATGCAAATTAAGAAAACATCTTCATCAGTTTCACAACACGCGTGTGCTCCAAATACTCACAACACAACCAAATACAGAAAAGCGCTGCAAAAGTTCACAACACAACAGAAATGTTTCCAGGGGACCCCAATAAGCGACGAACACGGCTAGGACGTCTACTTTATTTTATTTTAATTTATTTCTTTAAAAATTGTTTTTTTTTTCAAAACATACAGAGATGATATGTTAATGACATACAACTTTGTATACAATATACAAAATGTATTAATAATATGTTCAATGATATCAGAATACAAATGAGAAAAGAACAATGAGCTGAAAACTAAAATAAATAAATTATTAATAAATAAAAAAGATAGAGAAAAAGAACATGAGGGAAAGATATCAATCTACCGGTATACATCCGTTACATTGTACATATTTTGTCAGCATGTTATGTTTAAATTTTCATAAAGAAAAGTTTCATAAGAAAAGATTTAAAGTTGAGAAACTCACACACAAATATATAACGCATATTTTAAAAGCTTTTTTTTTGTAAAATAAATTCATACTTATTTGCATCCGTTGTTAACAGCATAGATAAGATATTTCTGTCATAAGAACAGCTATTCAGCTGATGGACACCGTACTGCGTTGTCATGGGAACATCCCAGCGTTGTCTCTCGTTGCTCCCTTCATCCAGGCCCGCATTAATGCACGGGCTTACTGGGGCTGAAGCCCCAGGGCCTATGAAGACAAGGGGCCTATCATAAGCCAAAAAAAAAAAAAAAAAATCACATTGTTTTGTAATTTGTCGAATTTTCTGTCAATCACTTGATATTCATGTTTTTGGCTGCTGATTGATCCAATTTACAAGTGACCCACGTGGGAAGCATGATATGACAGCCTATCAGAATGTAGAGAAACAGTTGTCATCTTCTCTAGTAGTCTATTCAAATTTATGCTAGTCACAGAGGCTGATGATAGCTATCAAAATGTTGAGGAAGAAATAAACGAAAAATATCGCGACAGAAAGAAAACAGTGAGAAGGAATTGTTCAAAAAGATTCCAAAGCTAACAGGATTTTTTAAACCTGCAAATGAAGGTGAGTCGAGCTCATTAAGCGGAGCACCGATCGATGAACAGTGGAGAGGACAAGCAAACAGGCGGGCAGTGTTAATTTCGTTGACGAATAATTTGCGTAATTATTTTCGTCAACAATTTTTTTTCACAGACGAAAACGAGACGATACGGTCCCGACCCGAAGCGTGCAGCCCTGGCCTGCACATATAGACAGACAGACTGAATTGAGCTCTCTTTCGCGTCTGAATGGACAAATACACACAACATTATGTCTAAATGTCCGTTTTAGAGAGTATTCACGTAAACACAGTCGGTTATGTCTTTACAGAATGTACAGTTGTGAGAATATTGGATGTGCATCAGTGCAATTGGATGTGCGCACTCGGTCTTAAAGTGACAGTGCGTAATAAACCTAATGCCGTCTGTACCAGGGGCGTAGCCAGTATTGGGCCAGGGCGGCACTGGCCCGCCCACATTACTCACTGGCCCGCCCAGGCAAGTTTGATAAAACTACATTTTTAGTTTATTTTTATTCAAACGTATTTAAGAAAATATATTAATATATACCTGATTTATTGTTGACTGCTGTGTGTGTTTAATTCGTTTTCCGAATAAAATGGAACTGTCGAAGCAAGTTAGAAAGCCTCTCTCCGGAACGTTATTGGTTGCTATGGTTGCTGGGGGTTCCGACAGGAAAACTCACAGCGGCGTCGGCGCCACAATAATGGCTAAACAAATTTCTTTAATGTGCTATTTGAAAAAAGCAAGAGTTGAGGAAGAAGACACGCCACTGCCTTCATCTACCGAGTCCACACAGCCCAGTTCTTCAGACTCATTACCCCAGGAGAAGGCTAGTCAGGTGCTGGTGGCGGCTGCTTCTTGCTCCCTCTCTCCCGGTCAGCCTGACGCGGGTTTACCCGCCGATCTAATTGCGATATTAGCTATTATTTTAGCTTACTTTATTTTCGGGTGAACTGTCTTTGCACTGCTGACTAGCCTAAAATAGACAGGTTATTGTCTACACTGGTTTGTCCAGCCTTTATTAAGCTCTGTTGGTTGAACATGATGATTTGCCGAATATAAAGGTGTAACTGTTTTTGCAGTTTGTCTATTAATTTTTCTACTCTCTAAGGTTAATTATTACTGAAGTCATTTTTTTTCTATGAAAAACTATAGGCCCACTCACATTTTCACTGGCCCACCCAAAATACAATTTCTGCCTACGCCACTGGTCTGTACACTTAATATTAATCAAACAACAAAATAAAAAAGAGAAAAGCATTCACTGCTCTTAAATAGCTTTAATATGGATTAATTATACTTAAATTATACAAATAAATTTGTCTGCTTGAAAGAATAAAGAATGATGTATGTAAGTTAAAGACTGCATAATCATTGATTGAAAAAAAAAAGACTGTTCTACTTTAGGAGAAGAAGTGTTTTTATTTAATTTTAAGATATTATGTTATGTCACCGTGCTAAATCTGTGTCTGTACAGTATTGCATGTTCAAACTTTAAAAATTCAAATTAACAGGTTAATAGATGTTTTCTATGGGAATATATAATGGCTTTGGAAATTTTAGAGAAATTCTAAATTAATGCATTAGAATTTCACTAAACCCATTCGACTTTAGTCGACTAAATCTACTGTAAATTTAGTCTACTAAAATCTTATTGTATTTCGTCGACTAAAACTAGACTATTTACTGCTTTCCAGTATAGCCTGTGCTGTGGAGGTTTTACATTGCTGTTGTTGTGGATCTTTTTATGGAATACTGTTTTCGTTAGGCTATATCTCCCCGAGAGAAACTTATTTCTGCTTTTGTTGTATAGACAAACGTGATCATTAGACTTTTTTTTTATTGTGGGCCTACAAAACCTCTCAGCCCCAGGGCCTAACAGCAGGTTAATGCGGGCCTGCCTTCATCAAGTGTGTTGCAAACGGCTACATAATGGCACACTAGTGCCCTGCTCACTCAAAAGTCCCCACTTCAAGCCCTCTGCAGCTCACGAGCAATAAGCACGTCCCAGCCGTGTTCGTCACTTATTGGGGTCCCCTGCAAACATTTCCGTTTTTATTTATTTATTTATTTATTATTATTTTTATTATTATTATTATTCAACAACACAAACAAACAAGGTACATTAACAAATATCTGAAAATAACCTCAATTGTTCAGCCTTAGGTTGAGCATAGCTAGTACAAAGAACAGAAAACTATAGAACAAATAAATAATTAAATAATAAGCAATACAAAAATAAATAAAATGAAAAATAAATAAAAAATAAATAAAAGGGACTTTTAAATTAATTTAAACGTATCCAAAAGAGAAATCAATTTAAGGGCTTTCTGATTTTTAACTAATTTTAAAGATTTGCACAAGAGTTTAACCTCATTCATCCAGTGATTAAAGTTAGGTTTAGATTTAAACCATCTGCATTTGTGAATGAAAAACTTTCCAAAACATAACAAGAAATTAATAACAAAATCACAATCTTTGTTTTCCAGACAAACTCCAAACCTAATCACCCTCCTAGACCTTAACCAATTCTGCACCTCACTCCAAAAGGGTTGCACCATATCACAATCAAAGAAGACATGCTCTAAATTCTCAATATTTGTTTCACAAAAAACACAATTATTCACCTCAAAATTAAATTTCAATCTTAAAAATTCATTAGTAGGATATAATCTCGTTTAAAATGTTGAAGTTCACCTCCATAGCTTTACGACGGAGGGGAAAAGACAAATAATTTTTCCTATTTTTTTATTTATTTCAACCATATCATTATCATTATCACGATCCCATTCATCGAAAAGTAGTTCCCCCATCACCCCATTATCTTCCGCCTTTACCTGTCTACCAGATAGCTGCGGATTGGTACAGTGATGATAAAACGGTCAGCCAGCCAATCAGATTGCGTGGTCGCACTTATAGGCTACTTGAATAAAGTTAAAAACACAGCAGCATCTATTTCTTTATGGATTCCATTTATGAAACGAATGAAATGTTTTGAATCAATGTGAAAATTGTAAATGTTACTTTAGGCTAATTTTGTGTGTTCAAATAAGCACATGTTGCAAACGTGATTTATTAAACAAAATCTGATTTATTGTAAGAGAAACACCTGTTGTACACCCATTTAATAAACAAACAAACAAAAATATTCAAATACCAAAACGAGACATAATTTACAAAGGTATTGTATGGGTCAGTGGTTTAGTCGATAGCAGGGTAGGGGCAAACACGAAGACTTATTTTGTATATTAATTCTTTCTGCAAACAGAACTTTCATATAAGACTATGTTTACAATAATTTCAAAAACCTGGCCATTACTGGCAATCAAAGTATCACTTAATCCAAAGATTGAACACAGGTCCTGCCTTAACCTTTGTTTCATTTAAATCTTTTAGAGGATATCAAGCAACAAATCAAGATTCTTATGCTTTGTGACTGAATGCCAATATAGTTATAGGGTACAGGAAACACGACAAAAGGTGCATATAAATGAACACTTAGCAGTACTGTAAAGATACCAGTTCGAGAAACGTGCCACTTGACTTCAGAACTGATGAGTATGAGTTGTGGGAGAGAGAAGACTGAGAGAGAGAGAGAGCGAGCATGGGTACTTGGATTTATCACACACAGGCTAGAAAGAGATGAAAAGATCTCTGAGCCTCCCCACTAGATATTGTTATGCAGTCCTGCATATTAAATGCTGAGTTATCATGTGCCATTAAACTTCTCACCCTAATTGAGAAGTTAAAGGATAAAGTATTCTTGAGGCTAACCACAGCCTAGGGAAGAGGCTCCAATAACATTAAATAAAATCCCACACACAAACATTCAACTCTCTCCACTGTAACTGTATGTGATATACAGAAAGAATAATATATATATTTTTTTTTAACTGGAAAGCACCAAGCCAAACTCAAAATCTCCCCTCCTTCACCATTGTATTATCTAGGTGTTACTGAGTGTCTGTCTTTGGTGTGCTTATGATGTACAGGCACAGTGTGTAATGTTAAACACTTCACTATGAGTCTATTGGTTTACTGTTGAACAGAAGTGGTACACACACGACTGTGTATGGACTTTAGCTTTGAAGACTTTTTTTTGTTCTTGTTCTCCATGAGTAGGAGAGTGTAGAGAGCAGGCTGGGCTCCTGGCAGTGGCTTTGGTAGATGAAGGGGATGAGATGATGCAGGAGGAACAAGGGGAGAATGGGCAGCAGAGGAGGGTAGGTTGGTTGGAGCCGGAGCGCACTGGTTTATGATCGCTTTCTCCTTCCCTCAAAGTTCCTGAAGTTGGCGGGCCTGATCTTCATCTCTGCAAACTCGACGGAGTGCTCATGACCCTTCCAGTGGAACCAGTTTACACCCTGGAGAAAAAAAAACAATTCAAATTATCTTGACATAGAGTATGTATCTCTTTCATATTCACATGATTCTCTTACAGGGAACTCAAACAAAAATGTCAGTCTGTCTCTACTGAATGAAAAGTGAGAAAGCACATTTGAAATGTGTACCTTGCTGTGACTGTTGTCTCCGTATCGGCCCATTATATTGACTCGATGACAGTTTTTATACCAGAAAGCTCCCTTATAAGACAACGCACAGTTGGTGACAGCTATATCGTTGTCATGATCGTAAGTTGAGAATGGACGGCTGTGGTGGTACGTCATTGAGTCACCTTTAAAACAGCATCATCACAAAATCAGTCAGATTTTAAAACAACTAGCAATGATCAAGTTGTATGTTTACTTTTGAGCATAATTTATGTATACACACACACAGATGCATACATGCACACTACTGCTGTTCATCACCTCTTTTCAAATTTGATAATAATGAGAAACTCCAAATCAGCATATTGAATGATTTCTGACGGATCATATGACACTGAAGACTGGAGTGATGGCTGCTGAAAATTCAGCTTTGTCATCACAGGAATAAATTACATTTTAAAATATATTAAAATAGAAAACATATTTTTAATTTTATTAATACTTCACAATATTATAAATAAAAAAATGCATCCTTGTTGAGCATAAGAGACTTATTTCTTTTTTATTGAATGGTAGTATATATATATATATTAGACAAAAAAAATTATTAATATTATTAAACAAATAAATCTGCTTTGTTTTAAATCTGGGGACAAATAATTGTTCCCAATGTGTTTTGGAGAAAAACATTTATTTCATAATGTGATTTTCCCCCCACTTTCAATTCTTTTACTTCAATAAAAGGTTAGATTTTTTTTTTTTTATATAAATATCAAAAGGATAAATAATGCAGATTTTTTTTTTTACAGCCATCTTTGATCATATTTACCAAGGGGGCAAATAATTCTGACCAGCACTGTATATATATATATATATATATATATATATATATATAAACACATACATATTAGGCAAAAATGTATAATTAATTTTATATATATATATATATATATAAGTAGAGTAGAGAGATATATAGAGAGAAGTAGAGAGAGGTCAAATACTTTACCTGCAGTGCCGCTATATCCTCCAACATGGACTTTGTAGCGACTGCGTGGTTCAGAGACTGAAAACTTGTCATATTGTGCATATGCAGACTCTCCCTTATCTCTGAGGTCCACACGCAGCTCATACTGCCCAGAGGAGGTGATTTTGTGGAGGTTAGAGAGACCTGCAGACACAGCCAATGGAATCAGTAGTCCAAAATGCTCAATTTCACCATATCATAAAACCTCTGAGCTTCTATACTTAGGGCAATATTAGCAATTTGCCATGTCTGCACAGATATAAACATACCCAGCCAGAATTCATCGTTCAGGTCACCAAAGCCTGCAGTGTAGTTCTTCCAGTTTCTGAAAAACTCCACTTTACCGCTCTGCCGTCTCACAAACACCTGCGTGGAGGTACCACAATATTTACAATGACTCTTGTGTATGAGAGTGTATGTTTTTGCTCTCTGTGTTTGATGAGACTTTAAATGAATAGTTCATTTATTTCATCATTTATTTACCCTCATGACTTTCATTGGAGCATTTGGTATGACATATGGGTGAGTAAATGTTTTCATTTTTGAGCAAACTATCCCATTAAAGAAAAAACTCTTTAAGATCATAACAGCTAATTTTTCGATCCTGCATGTAATTTGAGGAAGAATTACTCACAATCCAGCCGCCTCCATCAGTGGTCATATCGCAGGAGACCTGCAGGGGCTGACTCTCATCTCCACGCACATAAATAGTGTACAAGCCTGAGGCTGTGTCTCCATTCAACAGAGCCTGGGAGCAGTCTTTAGGATGCTTGTACAGCACTCCAACTGTGATAAAGAAAGAAAAGAGTTTGACCAAGGGCAAGTTTATTTATTCAACATCTTCACAACTAAGAGTCCATAATCATGCAGTGAAGCTGTAACATAAATGTATTGGCTCACTGGTGGTGAAGACAGTAGAAATGATTCTGCTTCTCTTTGGCCCAGCAATGGCCTGCAGTTTGACTGTGTATTCCGTGGAGGCAGTCAGCTGAGACATGCTGTAATACGTTGCTGTGGGGCTTAGGACAACCTCCTGAGCCAAGAGAAGAAAACCAAGAACATACAACTATCAGTACAGAAGCATTGGACAGTCCATGTAGAAATCACTGTAGACCGGAAAAATGATCAAGCTTTAGTTTTAAGCCCCCAATAAATGTATTTGTGCGGTTCTCTCACCTTGACCATGCCATCAGCCGACTCAAAGCTGAGGATATACCCACTGATGTCTGCTCTTGGTGGCTTCCATGTCAACATGGCAGTCTCTGTTTGAATATTACTGGCAGCCAGATTCTGAGGGGCATCAACATCTGTGACAGAAGGCACTTGGTTAATGTAATAAAAATTAGTATGTACTGATAATTTGCCACCCCCCTGGCATTGTCGTATTAAGATTATATGGCATGATCTCTTGATGCTGACAATGTGTGTGGATGAATCTTAAAGGTGCACTGTGTAATTTTTAGCGGCATCTAGTGGTGAGGTTACAGAATTGCAACCAACAGAAGTTACAGTGGCCGACAGGAAGAGATGTCTTCGTCTGAGACAGCAGAGAGTAGCTAGTTAAGCAATGAGGTTTCTTTACAAAGATAAATTAAGAAATTAGGTTTACTTAATTATTCAGTAAAACTATATGTTATTGCGAATATTATTGTTACTTGTTCATCATTGTGTCAGTGTTTTATTAGCTGACTTTGGCTAGCTTCTTTGCACGAAGAACAACATAGTGACGAAACACATTTGTCCGTTCAGGGCTACCGTAGAAACATGTCGGCGCAAAATGGCGACTTAACATGTAAGGGGACCCGCGGTTATACAGATAGAAATGGCTCGTTCTAAGGTAATAAAAACATAACGGTTCATTAAGTAAGGTCTTTATACACCACTGAAAACATAGTTATGTATATGATATTGCATTTCTGTCAACAGATCCTCCTAAATATTACACAATGCACCTTTACATTTTGGGCACTTATGTCTGAAGGGTTGATATTTATTAAAACTAACGTTTTATTTAGTTATTTTTTGGGGTTTTGTTATGAAGGTCACATTATATATAGATTATGTATAGATTCATTTTCCCAAACCCAGACTTTCAAATTCCATCATAAAAATATGAATTACTACTTTTAAAGCTATCATTGATGAGTGAAATAATCAAATATTGCAATGGTTACTGAATGAAAAATTTCCATTTCCATATAAAAGGTGAAATATTCTCATGAACCAGTAGGAAGATATGTCAGAATCTGTTTCGCTTTACACCAATACAATCTTCTTTTTTTTTTGCGAGTTTACAGATGTCTTGTGTTGTTTGTGTGCACGGGTGAGTGAGCGTTCACCTTACCTGTGGTGAACTCTGTTGTGGTTGCAGCACTCTTGGCTGCCTCTCGGACTGCGTAGACTTTAACGGTGTATAAGGTGGCGGGTGTGAGGGAGCTCATCTCAAACTCCACAGTGTTCCCAGACACCCTTTCCATCACTGGAGCCACTGACAAAGAACAAAACACACAACTGAGACTCACTGCTCTATTGTTTTAGTCTAGTGCCTGAAGCAAGAATAATGAATGACAGTCTGAACTGAGTTACCACTGTCTGAGCTGTAAGTGATGACATATCCGTCCACAGTAGCGATGGACGGCTGCCACAGCAGCAGGGCTTCGGTGTCGGTGATGTTGACTGCTGTCAGACCGTGTGGTTTATCCAGGGCTGAGGACCAACAGATACACGCATGAGAGAAGCAAAGTTGATTACTAGGCTTCTGCCAGACAAATAACTAACACAAGGAAAGCAAAACACAACTAATAGGCTTACGATACAGACTAAGTAGAGGTCGACTACAAACCAGTCTAATCTAACTATGAATATGAGGAGCTAAAACATTACAAAATGATTTAATCAATTATTAATTATTTTAAAATACAATATTAGAGTGAGACGTACCTGTTGTGACCCTGTCAGATCCTGGTTCACTCTCCTCCAAGCCCTTCACAGCGATAACAGTGACCTGGTATGACACTCCAGGGGTCAGATTAGGCAGCATGGCTTGAGACTCTCCTCCATCTACTCTCAGTGTCATAGGGCTGCCTGCAGGGGGAGACATAACACTGGAATCAACTAGAATAGCTATTGTCACTAGAGGGCAGCATTGTCTGTGATTGATTGGCATGGTGACATGCAATAATACTCTGCTGATGGATAAAACAGTTTGGCTTGATTGATGTTTGGCACTGATAGATTCACATAACTGAAGACGGCCTGATCTAAAAACCTGCACAGAACACTGAGAGGCTAAAAGGACAATATGGGACTTTAGGGGGACATCTCTTGAATTCAATCAATTTATTATGCCAAGAAGGCAGTCTAAGATAATTTCCTCCTCGACTTGTGCAATATATTACGGAATAGATCATTTATGCCAAATCATAAACTGAAGAAGTACAAATAATACTATGATTTGCCAACAGGCAGCCATCCAAATGCATAGAAAACCACACGGTAAAGTCTCACTTTTCGAAGATGGCCTGTGTGTCAAAACTGTGACTTGGAAGGAGGAATAATGCTTTGCTTTTATATCCAAACCAAAAGCTCCAAATGTGCTATAAATAGTACTAAGGCATAAAAAAGTACACGAAAAGTATGTTAAAAAGTTTGGGGTCGGTACGTTTTTTTAAATTTATTTTTTAAGAAATTAATTTTATTCAGTAAGGAACAGTCATTTATAATGTCGCAAATATTTCTATTTCATATAAATGCTGTTTTGAACTTTCTATTTAGCAAAGAATCCTGAAAGAGTATCACTGTTTCCACAAAAATATTAAGCAGTACTACCGTTTTCAACAATCAGCATATTAGGATGATTTGTGAAAGATCATGTGACACTGAAGACTGGAGTGTAATGGCTGCTGAAAATTCAGCTTTGCCATCACGGAAATAAATTAAAATGTAAAATATATTCAAATAATATTAACCAGACCAGTTATTTAAAATTGTAATAATGTATTTGATCCAACTCCAAACTTTTGAATAGTAATGCAAATAATTATAAAGTAACAGTACTGAATCGATAATGACCACACGTTACTTACCACCCTGAACGGGTACATAGGTGACCCGGTAGCTGTCTACATGAGTACGGGGCATAGTCCAGTGAACAGTAGCCGATGTATCAGTCACGTCAGAAAAGCGTATCCCCTTGGGTGTACCTAGGCCTTGGTAGAAATGACACACATAAGAAGCACAACAAGATTGAATTGTTAAAAGAAAAGTGTGGTCTAGCAATTGACAAAGAGGAGTTAAAAACAAAACCTTTTCCCAAAACAAGTAATTTCAGATCGTAAGAAAAAACTCAAATACAGTGCAGTGCGTGTGAAGAAACTTCTTGAACTACTTATCCTGCTGAACAAATAGATGCATGAAAGTAAACATTCAGGACATGAGGACAACCAACTGTGCGGCTACAGATAAAGGCCCTGGCCTTAAAGCTATTTCTCAACGATGGACCTCAGAATCTCGCGTGACAGATGCAAGAAGATTAACTTGCCCCCAGTACAGAGACACGTGTGACAAGCCAACATCAGACACAAGTGGAAAATGAAGCTCGCTAGTATAAAGGAAGATTGCCAGAGACAGGCATAAAAAAAAGGAAAATGCACAAAATAGTGCATAGTCTTGCTCTGTAAATAAAACCCTAGATCACTTAGCAAATAGAGAGAGACAAAGTAAGACTGGTGATGAATGAGAGAAGACTTGGATGAATGTGTCATTAATGAATGTCACTTGAGCTATGTAGACACAATGAGAAAATAATGAGTGATATAATTTTGTTAAATATGGGATATTGAAAGACTTGTGTTTGCAAGTTTCCATTTTCATGTTATAATGTTTTGACCAAACCAATCTACTAGTAAACAGAACAGAAGAAAAGAAAGAAAAAGAGTTAGTGGAGACCAGCGTCTCTTAAAAATCCAATACCTGTTCGAGCTACAGCCAAAATGGGCTGGAATTTCCGTCCCAAAATGATCCCAGAGAGCTCAATTTCATACTCCATATCTTCATTGAGACCTGTCACTTCTCCTGTTCGCTGGTCTCCAGATACACTAATCTGTTGGGGTTGGCCCAGTCCATTAGAATCGACGACTTTGAGGGTGAATGTATCAAAGACGCCCTCCGGTGCTGTCCATGTCAGTTTAAAGCTGTGCGGTGTGATGTCCGAGACCAAAAGGTGCTCCACTTCAGGTTCAGCTTCTGTTTGATAAAATAATAAAGTTGTTCTTCCTCTGTAAACTCTGTTAAAATATGTTAAATGACCAAGAAGTGTACATGCAGGTCTTTGTGGTGTTTGTTAGAGACAATTCAGCGATAATGTTAGTCATGCATGAAAATAGCCAATTGTTCTGTCATCTATCAGTTGCTTCTATATCTATGGCAGGTGATGCTGAAATCAGTGAGCCAGTAAATTTAATTTACATATTTTGATTAGAATATGGAATGAGATCTGTTGGTTAGTAGAAAAAAAATTGACATTGATGAATTTTCCACCATTATATTAGGTTCCACCATCATAATTGTATCGTCATATAATAGCAGTCATGCAGAGTTCAAGACAGAGCTGTTCCAGGACAATGACATATCCATAATAATCATATTGACAGAAGGGCTCATCCTGGAAACACATTTTTCATCTCGTTTTTAGCTGAACTAATTGGCAAAAGCCACTGACATATGAATTCTGAGAGGGACATCTCTAGAGAAGCAATTGTGGTAAGGATATGTAAAACTAAAAACCTAAAGCCTGTCTTGATGTCTTGACCACATAAGCAATGTATTGTATTTTCAACAATGGCTTTGTTTGTCCATTTTTAATATTCTGTGGTTTGTTCTTCATCGTGTACCAAGAACCAGTTACTGCCTTACACATGTTTCTTGCCTTTACTTTAGAAGTAGATTATAGCACCATAAATTCAGTTGATTAAGATTTGTCTTTCTTTTTTTTTACTTCATCTGAAGGAGGAGTAGCAGCATGTTAACTTGTTATAATAACTTGACCTAATTAAATATGTTAATGCAGTTAAGGCTGTCCTTAGTTTGACATTGTAACTTTTTAACTCTGTTCAGTCTAATTTTTATAGGCTGGAAAGAAAAGTCAGAACCAGAGACATCCAACAATCCAGCAGCCAGGCTCTTAATGTATAATTTATTTACAAATACAGATGGGAATAAACATTCTGATTAAAATTTTAAAAGAAAAATATATAGTTTATATTTAGAATAATCTGATCACTGTCTCCTCTGGATATATATGGTCATGTTATTTCACACAAATTATGGAAATGGGATGGAAATTTATTCAAGTTATTATACTGAATTTTGCATTCAATGCAATCAAAATGCAAAAAAAAAAAAAAAATGTAGTATTGATCCAAAGCGACAATGCTTTAATAGAGCCTTGTTGTCCTAAACTAAACATTCATGAAAGAGAGAGAAAAAAAGACCCTTGACTGGACTGAACCTCTTCTTCCTCTAAAGCTCTGGATGATGTGAAAATGAAAAGACATTTGTTGAATGTGGAAAAGTGTTGGAAATGAAAACCAGCGAGGACAAATCCCGTGGAGCTGTCCCTCTTCATTAGCACTGTTCACTTGTTTAAGAGTGTCAGCAGTGTTTGAGGCATTTCAAGAGTACTAACATGTGCTCTCCAAGGATCACTTTCATCTGACTGGCTTCTAAGTCTCTCTGGTCTGACAAAGAGGCATCTGTTTGTGGAGGTGGAAAAGGCGCCAGCTAACCTACAGAAACATGGTCTGGAAGCAGTAATTCTACAGCAGGCAGCTAAAACCTCTGAGGGGGATATCTGTGTTGACGCAGCTAAATCTTACAGCAGGGATAAGCACACCAACTATAGAGTGAAATGTAAATATTGTACATGTTTCTGATTTTTAAAGCTTGTATTACTCAGGACAGAGTGAGGCAAGAGTTCATGGGTCATGTGACATGAATAGAGAGGAGGTTAACAGAAATCCAATCAGTTCCCCTTCTCCTCTGCCTATTTGCATGCAGACTTGAGAGACTGCTACAACTGTGGCCCCTGCAGCCACTGGCTGATAAACGCCAAGAAAATGTGTGAAAGTGAGGCATAAGAATGAGAAGTAGTGCAGGGTCAGAAAACTGGGCGTGCATACTGAAAAGATCCTTCACAAGAAGCGACAAAAACTCCTCAGGATCACTTCCATGGCAGTACACCCCAGCCTAGTCACCCGCTCTATTCGCTGACTCTCTGAGGGGGGCTTCTGGGGCAAAACTTTGGTATGCGCCTAATAAATGTATGTTTGTTACAATACAACTTGTCTGGTTTGCTGGTAGAATATAAATGCCACAAACCAAATTATTTAAATGGACTCACCAGCAATGTGAATTGAATGCCGCAGTCAATTAGAATGAAAAAGCCATCATTAGTCTAACTTTGTTTTGCCTGTTAAACACAAATGTACCAGTGAAGACAGGCAGAGGTCATTTACTGCACCTGCAGGCTGTGCTGGTGATTATGCAGACGTGAATGTGTGGGGTAGCATTATGATGCTGTGCATGTATGCTCTGAATGTCAGCACACTTCAACACATAATTCAGGAGACGGGAAGAGTGTCGACATTTCACAGAATCTGCAGCTGACTTAAAATAGGCTTTTTGTGGCGCTCTGCAAATTTGAGAGATTATCTGCATCTGAAATCACATAATGTCAAAGTATGTACTGCATTTAAGAATGAATTAATAAAGTATGTTCTACCAACCCGATTTCACTGCAATTCGTACGCATTTTATGAGGTGGCTAATTCGTACGAATTCATACGACCTCACTCGTATGAATAAGTACGATTTTTGCTAAATCGTACATATTTTACGAGTTGCCCAATTCATATGAATCCCCCTGACCCCGCCCCTAAACCTACCCATCACTGCGGTTTAGACAAATCATATGAATTTGTACGAGTGAGATCATACGAATTCGTACGAAATAGCCACCTTTTACTCACTCATACAAATTCGTACGAATTGAGATAGCGTTGAACAAGTATGCATGTAATGTATAAAATCCAGACTACATCAGCCATGTTGGTATTGTCATGTGACTTATGACATCAGCACCTGCTCCCTGTTATTTATGGATATTGTATGATGTCCTGTGGATCATATGTTTTATGAATACTGTTTATTCTGACATATTACATTTGATGTATTGCTCTTCGTATACTACATGGGGAAGTAGGCATATTCGGATGTTGGGATTTATTCTGGAATCAGTAATGAATGAGGCTGTGTAACGGAGGCCAGCTAGTAAGAGCTGTGCGAGTAAACCTCACTCCCCTGGCCTCAAGAGGCATACTAGCGACTAACGTCAGAGGCTGCGGTGTTTAGCATCCATGTTAGCGCACCTGCCTTCCATGCCGGAGACACTGGTTCGAATCTCGCTATCCTGGTGCGAGTAGAACCAGATGGGTTACAACTACATTACACTACCATTCAAAAATTTGGGGTCAGTAAGATTTTTTAATGTTTAATTTTTAATGTTTTTGAAAGAAGTCTCTACTATGGTGCTCAAGAAACATTTCTTCTAATTATCAACGTTGAAAACAGTTATGCTGCTTAATTTTTATCTGGAAATAGTGATGATTCTTTAAAGCTGCAGTCCGCAGTTTTTCCTCTTTGTCGCCCATTTCTGTTCGAAATCTGCAATTGCAGTCATTCGCGGAATTATCAACTTTATGCGAGTTGTACCACGGTACGGCACAGCGCGGATGAATCCAATGTTTGAGGAGAGTGTGCAGCTGTCAGTCACCGCGCGGTGTGGAAACTGGCATTAAGAATCTCAGATTCTACTTTTTGGAAGTATGACCAATATAAGAATTTTCACCCTAAAATGTGAACAAGTAAGTAACATCCACTTTTGTTCTTCTGACCAACTAAGGGGAAAAAAACATTGCAGTAAGTCGCGCTGATTAAATCTAACAATCGCTTATCATATCACGTCAAACCGAGCAAATTATACTTTGCTCTCAAATTGTTAATGTTAACAACATCAGTATTGCGTGACTACATTTAAAGCCCTTCAGATATTTATCCTTGTTTTTTTCGCATGGGCTGGTTGCAGTCTCTTTTTCAAAACTCTCAGTCCAAAGTCTTTTGCATTTTACAGCGGGTGAATCTGTTGTCACTGGTGATTGTCGTTTGAACCTTTCTGGATCCGCCATCAAATTGATAAGTTTAATCATATCAAGTGCTGTGAGAAAAGGCTATAAATCTCCACCTCCAACATCCTCACACACAATATAGCCTACTAGCCGAGACTCCTTCTTTATGTGTACAGATGTGACGTAATGACACAAAGACATGCTCGAATCTCCCGTGGAAATCCACCAGTACCACTGGAATTAAAAACATTATTACAAGCTTACCGTTTGGAATCGAGCTAAGGCAAGCAGAGAGTTTTGAACACTGGCTGGTTATGTACTTGCTCAAAAATTATTTTGGATAATTTTTAACCCAAAAAAGTTATGGACCGGAGCTTTAATGACTAGACAGTGCAAAAGAACAGCAATCATTTAAAATGTAACAATAAAAATGATTTAATATGTAACATTATAAATATCTTTACTGTCACTTTTGATCAATTGCATCCTTGTCGAATACAATTTCTTTTAAAAAAAAGTACTGACTCCAAACTTTTGAACGGTAGTGTGGTAGGGAAGTAGGCATTTTCAAACAAGAATTTTTGATGAGGCTGCATTATATTTATGTTATTTAGTTGACAGTGCCCAATATTTACTCAACCTTCTATATTAATAGTGGAAAATAAAATGAATACTAGTTTTTTATGGAGATGATAGATGATAGATGGAGAGATGAAAACACTAAGAAGGATACAAAAAAGGCGGTTTAAAAAAAACATGTTAGAATCAATTCAACATGTGATGTGGAAAAAAAATAGCAAATTAAAAGAGACAAGAGGTTAGTCTGTATTGCTGCTTGAGGCACAGCATTTGATCTAAAAAAAAAAAAGATGCCAAAAGACAACCAAGCTGGTCCATGACATGGCAAGTAATGATACCTGTGATGGCTTCAGCAAAGACAGGATCTAAGAGATCTCCCTTGTACAGCCCATACAGTGTGACCCTGTAGAAAGTACTAGGGGAGAGGTCAGTGACAGCCAGGCTGAAATCCTGACTGGATAATGTGTGGTTCTGGCCATCAAATAAGCCATCTGGGTCAGACACTTCAATCAGAAAGCCCTCAACCTCTCCTCTGTCCAGCTCCCAGGACACACTGAAGCTGTCCCAGGACACATTAGAGATGGTGATGTTTCCCACCTGAGGCTTCTTATCATCTGGATTACAAACAGATCAGAAGATAATTATTTTGGCAGGAAAACATACATTTAGGAGAAGAGCATCATGGGTAATGGTAACAAAAGAGATTTGATTTCTTAAGGCATTCTCTCTTTAAGATGATGGTAATTTCTGTTGCTTGGAATCAAATGTTATTGAGGTGAAAACAAAAAGGCCTGAAAACTAAAAAAGACATTAAAAAAATCCACAGCGCAGCATGTTTCACATTATTCAAAACAATGCAAATAATTTTAACAATTAAAGGGGGAAAAAATACATTTAATTTGAGCAAGCCGAAGAACAATAAACCACTTAATTTGTTACTCCTAAAAAAATCATCGCCATCTGTTCCAAACAGAACAGGAACATCTGACCATGCAGTGAAAAAAAAAACACACACACACACACACACAAGTAATAACTTTCAGAAAGTTGTAGTGACAAACAAACAAATTTGCAGTCATTTCTCTAACAACCTATTAACATCCAAGCACCAGTTTGCTGAGACAGCTTTGGTATTAATGGCCCTGAGAAAAGCCATTAATTTTTGAAGGTCCTGCCTAGCCTGCCTGAGCAGAGGTACGCTGAACACTTCAAACATGAGAGGCAGCCATGCAGCGCGGTGCAGTGCAACCTATAATTGAACATCATTGTGCATTGTCAGCATTCACAGGCAAAGTGGGGGCAGATAGCAAGGAGATGCACGGTGGGCTAACCATTATCCTGTCTATGAACATTCAAGAGGGCAGAAACGTGGCGTGCAAATAGGGTGACAATGGGAAAGAAGTGAATGACCTTCCCAGGCATTAGGGCCGCTTGTCGCTTTTGAAACCTGGAAATGAAACAATATGAAGCTGTCAAACAGCAAAACAACTCATTGATCATCTCGCGCCATTCATGGGAAGTGAAATTTGGTTAAATTGTTTCATTTTGCACACTTATTCAATAGAGTTCTTTCCACTGAAAGCGGCCCATGCAAGTCTGAGGAGTGGTCCTCACTGCATGCAGATGGGAATGAGAGGAGGTAGAATTAAAGAATGGCTTTATTGCGGTGAGATCCTCACACCACAAACACCTCAAGGGCATTTGGATAAAGCCATTGTTGGACGCATGCACAACCCTTTTTGGCTTTACATAGACACCACTGTATGGGCTTTAAGACATGCATTTTTTTTTACACAATAAGGTTGCGATCACATTTGTCATTGTCACAAGCGATATCCAGTAATTTGAATAGGAAACCATGCAATTAGGTACTTCATGTGAGAGCGAAAGGGTTTATGTTGGTCAGGCAGATTCACCACACTGAGCAACTGCTTGGTTTGAATGTGACTTCTGTCTAAGATGTGCTTCATACATCACTACACGCGTTTTTTTAATTTCGCTAATGTGACCTGACCGCACCTCAACACAACATAGCATAACTTTGTGCATGCATGCATGTGACGGTTTGCTCTCTCCTTTTTGGCCTGGTTATGGCCTGATATGTTTCCATTGAGATCTCATGCAGTCATCAGATTTCCACATCTCCATGTTACAAGCTGAAACTCTTCTAATAATGCCAGAGAAGCATTTAGTGAACAGAAGAAAGCCAGACCTAGCTCTCCCTTCCCCCCATCTTCCCAAATCCTTTGGGTCTGAGGGAAGTGTATGCCCATGTTTGTGTGCCGTGTCTAAGGCCGATAATGGCTGCTGAAATAAATGCATTGGGATTATAGTGCTGGTGATTTCAGAGACAACATTTTAACAGGCGGCTCAGCATGTGTCCTATTTATCAGTCCGCCCCACAGTTCATTGTGGTCAAATCACGCAAATCCAAAAGGGGAGTGGGCTCACTCTGACGATTATCACATGAATGAGCTTTCTGTGCGTGTGTGAGAGTTTGTGTGTGTGTGTTTTTGGGATCTTGAGAAACACTATATCTGTTGTCTTGCCTTGGCGACCAAAGCAAACAACTGAGGTTATATTTTGTAGCTCCCTGGTTTTAGTTAATGATTGCTATGTTATATAAGCAAGAACATTTTGGTAACAAAGTTCTGGAAGTTAAGTGGCATCCTGACCACAGTGCCTTTGGCTTTCATTGTTATTTTCTTTAAAACATAAAATAAACCCACATGGCATAAACGAGAGCTTCAATTTCCAGTGGCATACTGACAATATGAATATTTTTATAGAAGTCTTCTCAAGATAAGGAGCTACAAAATGTTTAATTCAAATTCATAGAACAAGGACTTCAATATCTTCAAACTCCAAAATAAATATTGACACTTATGGGGGAAAATAGTGAAGATAATAAATTCCAGAGTTGCCTTCAGATCCTCAGTGACCTGCTAAATAAATGTTTATGTGTGAAAAATTAGATTCAAATCATATTTTTTGAAAGCTGATTTCATGATCCAAAGCAGTATTGCTTTTGTCACTCTAGAAGCAAGAGAAAATGGGATGTGAAGATGCATTCTAAATATATAAATGAAAATGTAATGATGCACACTAACCTGTGGATGCTGACAAGGTGGCTGGCGCACTCATCTTTCTTCCTCTCTTGGCAGTCAGGCTGATGGTGTACAGCATGCCAGGGTTCAGATCACTCAGGATGTAGGTATTGGCAGCACCAGATACCTCCAATTCAGTTCTCTCGCCGATCGCAGATGCAAACACTAGCTCATAGGTGTCGATTTTGGTGACCGGCCTCCTCCAAACAAGTGTCAGTGTGGTCTCTGTGGTCTCACTTACTTGAAGCTCTTTGGGAGCATCAAGATCTAAGAGGACAGGGACAAAACATTAAAGGATTAGTTCATAAAAAAATGACAATTCGGTCATCATTTACTCACCCTCGTTTTGTCCCAAACCTGTGCAAGTTTATTCTATTGAATACAATAGGAAAAGAAACTGGATTGAAAAATGAATTGGGATTGACGCTTTCAAGCTTCAAGAAGAATGCAAAAGCACCATAAAATATCATAAAATGACAGTATGCTATATTCATATTCTTCTGAAGCTAAACAATACTTCTGATAATCCAGTGAGCTGTTAACCATTGCAACCAGATCGGTCAACGAGTTGAATTCATTCAGACCCGTTTTGTGAACGGGATCAAGTGATTCATTAAAAATATTCAACAATGAATCATTCACAAATCCAACATGAACAAACCAAAAATATTAATTTTCAATTGACCACAATAAGAGTTACATTATTGGCCAGTTTGTCACACAAAGGCTTCAGAAAGCACAGGGGTCATATAGACCATTTTTATGAGACATGAGCACTTTGATATGGTGCTTTTTGTTGTACTTTTGGTACTTGACAGCCCCAGTCCTTCTTTCACTTTTGACATGAGAGAGAGTAAAAAAAATTCTTGAACTATTCCTTTCAGATTTATAAATCCTACAACTGAGCTTTATTATGAAAGTAGATCTCACATGCACTTTTTTACTCAGTTTCACTAATGCTGTTGCATATCATAAGAGACATAAAACACCTGTGAGTTAATGACCATTTTTGTTAAGTCTTACCAGTCACAGCATTGGTAGTTGCAGGCAAACTCTCACGCTCTTCCTTAATGGACGTCACTCCCATTCCATACTCGGTCCCGGGCCTAAGGCCTAAGAGAAAACCCAACAAAAATCATTTATCTCAAATCATTAGACAAAACGAAACCAAATAATCTCTCACATTGGTTGTTTTTGGAACCTCCATGGTAGGCAATTGTTTTCATACTAGCGACAGCACGGTTTCAATTTCATCTTCATGCCATATCAATCTAATGCCTTTCAGTGGCCGCATCAAAGAGCTTCTCCACATGCCAGAGACAATATTTACCATCATACAAGAGATTCTCAGATCCCCACAGCCCCCATTCATAAGAGCCCTTAGCCCAAATCCCACACTTTACCCCTTTTAATGCCTGTATTGGCTCCTGCAGAGGTCACTGTGCAGGAGTCCTCCAGCATGAAATTACGCCTAATGCATAGGAAGCTCATTATCAATAAAATCACAGGCGTGACGGCAATTACAGATAATAACTGTGTGAAAGAGACAACTAGTGAGATGTGTGTGTGTGTGTGTGTGTGAGAGAGAGAGGCTCTGCGTTATTAGCCAAACAGATCGTCCGCCTTATTTACAGGGAACAGGCCTCCCAAGGACAAAGGAGCAAACCAGACAAAGAATCTATTATCCATTTTGAATATATTTTTTTCCTCCCAGCCATGATAATCCCTGCCTGCGGTAACACATGGTTGTAGAGAATAAGAATTAGCACAGGAGATTGCCTCAAAGCGCAAGTGTATAATAGAAGTGCTGCTGCGACGAAGAAAGCCTCCACTTTCCCTTTTTGACTGGGATTTTCACATTGAAGCACCAGTGTTACTTCATTTAAGGCATGAATAAGGCATTATCAACAAAAAGGGTAGCATCTCATTCCACTTTAGTCGTGTAAACATTTTACGCCACTAAAACAAAGGCGCTCATTTGGAAATAATTGGTAAATGGTACTGGCAAAGTAATGCAAAATTTTAAATTAGCCTATTTCTATTCAGACATACAGAACAATAGCTTTCCAATTGTTTTAAATCCTTTTTGAGAATGCTCGAAAACGATTGCCTTATTTTTTCCTCTATTTGTTTTCATACATAGTTTTTAATCTCTATGATCTGTTTGTAATTGATTTGTAATCGGTTTGTAATCTCTGGAGAGGAATTTTGTGTAATTCAAACTGGCCTCTCACCAGTGATTTTAGCCTGAGTGGTGTCTTGCGGGCCACTGGGGAAGACCAGTTCTCCATGCTCCCCTCCAGAAAGTGGGCCGTATTTAACACGGTAATTCAGGACGTTGGCTCTGCTGTTTTTCCACTCCAGAGTTATACTCTCATCTGTCTGTTCAACTGCCTTGAGGTGCTTTGGGGCATCCAGGTCTGAAACACACGTCAACATGTGGATGAAAGAAAATGCTTCTTGTAAACGTACGGTTATCCTCCAGGGCTAGACAAACAAAATTGCTTCAATGCAATGTCTAAGTGCACCACAATTATCAGTAGACCTGCTAAAGCAGATTGAACTCACTTTATGATGTGCTGAAAGGATTTCTAGTTGTTGAAAGGAGTTTGTACCTGTGGTGAAGGTCTCATAGACGGGAAAACTGGTCATCTCTCCCCTGCGGGCCATGAGAGAGACCTCATACTCAGTGTCCGGATACAGCTCAGCCAGATGATACTGGGTATCCATGGAGGAAAGCTTGACTGTGTTCCTGTCTGAGGAATCTGTGTTTGGGCCATAGGACACAGATATCCCATCCACCTGAGCAACAGGCTGAAACCAGGTGACGAGGGCTGTGGTGTCCGTCACATCACGCACATCCACCTGGCTGGGAGCATCAATCACTGCGGATGAGAGGAGAGGTGTGTGAAAGCTAGGGGAAAAGCTACATAATGGGAACATTTATGCAAACAGATGATCTAAAAACAGCTGCTACACACTTTTTGATATCAAGGACCCCCAAATATGATAATTGTCCACATAAAATATAATGACAGCTACATTTTTATTCAAAAAGACCCATTTATACTATGTATAAAAATATGAATTGTTTCATTATTCATTTAATTTAAATTAAATCATTGTTTTTTCACATTGTCACTGTTCTTAAACCAAAAGAAATTATTAAAATAGTAAATTAAATGTAAAAAATATCTACAAATATTACAAAAATAGTTTTTTATTTAATCAAGAAAAAAAATCCTAATGAAAGTAAAAATACATTTGGTACATGCTAGTTTTTTTTTTTTTCCTGAAATAGAACCACAACCCCCAGGGGGTCCCCGGATTGAAAACAAAACAAAACACTATTTGCTATTATATACAGATGCATTTATATATATATATATATATATATTCCGACATTAAGATACACTTTCTCCAAGACTTAAAAGAGGAAAAATAACTATTTATGTCTTAATTTCTATGGTAAAATCAGTTTGTCACATTAGGAAGTGTATTGAGAGCAGATACCTATGTGAACGTAAGATAATATAGAGTAACTGCATGCAGCTTAGAGCAGATTTGTGCATGCGAGATGCTCCAATGCACCAGTTATCTCACGGGAGGACAGCCTCTCATGTTGCTGAGTGGTGCCTCCCACACACTGAGAGTGAGGGAGAGAACTCACTTTGAGCAATTAGTCCTCCTTTAATGCAAATCCTATGTGGCACAAGTCGAAGAAATGGAGTAGATGGAGCGTTAGAGCCATGCTGGGAGATTTTTTTAGACATTTGTAAGACAGCAAAATCAGCATGTTGTGAAGGGAAACTGGTTACTTGCACTGACAGCGTAAGAGGCCAATGTTATAACGGCACATCTTTTCCCAATAGGGCTATAATCTGTGGGTTTAAAAAAAAAAAAGCTATTGATAAAAGGGAAAGATTGTTTGGGAAATGTCAAAATGGTAAAAAGTAGTACACCATTTGAGGGTAAACCCTTAAATTATTTAAAAGCATATAATCTACAGTCAAAGAGGATGAAAAACTGTTTTAGTTTCATACTGATATAGGAAGATGACAAAATATATTTAAAAAAATTATAAATCAAAGACCTTCAATTGTATAGAGATGATACTGTAACTTAATTTGTTTAAGATGTAAATAAGTATGGTCACACTAGCATGGAAAATTGGGGGATGCAAAATACTTTTTTTTTTTTTCATGTTTTTGAAAAAAGTCTCTTAAGCTCACTGAGGCTGTATTTATTTGATTAAGAAATACAGAGAAAACAGTAGCATTTTGATGAAATCTATTCCTGTGATCGCAAAGCTGAATTTTCAGTAGCCTTTACTCTAGTCTTTATTGTCACATGATCCTTTAGTAATCATATGCTTATTTGGGTCTCAAGACATTTATTATCACATTTTTATTCATTAAAAATGGTTGAGATCCTTAATATTTTTGTGGAAACTGTGATACAAGATTATTTGATGAATGGAAAGTTGAAAAGAACAGCATTTATTTGAAATAGAAATCTTAACTGTCACTTTTGATCAATTTAATGCATCCTTGCTGAATAAAAGATGGAATTTCCTTCAAAGCAAACAAATAAAAATCTTACCGACCACAAACTTTAGAATGGTGTATATATATTTTAGCTGATCCGGTGTAGTAATACACATAATTAGCAAATGGCAAGTGCTAACATCTTGCAAATTAAGGTATCAAGGGACTAGCACTTACATTGCCAGTTAGTCTAACTCAGAATAAAATATTTAAATTTTCAGCAACACCCTGCACTGCAAATAACAGCCAATTAACATAAAATGCTGGCTGCTCTTTTTAATTTCAGGTAAGACATTCTGGCTCTTCAAAAAAAAAAAAGGCCTGAAAAAGTGCAGACTGGTCATGGCCGCCTGTTAATTACGTCGACAGCTGCTTACTTGTGACAACGTTCTTGCTGGATGGGTGTCCGCGGGTGTTGTTCTTTACGACCTCAAGCTTTACTTCATACTCTTGTCCAGGTCCAAGACCAGACTGCTCAAAGGTGGTCTCAGGAGGTGTGAGAGAGTTCAAAATCTCTCCATCCTCTTCTTTCTGCCATTCAAAAACAGATTTTTTTGGTTAATTGAATTGGTGAATATATTAAATCTGAAAACCGATCACTGGTCAAAGGTTCTGTTGGTTAATAAAAGAACACCACAAATCATCAAAGAAGCAACCTCAGGAAAACAAAGTCAAGCTCCTATGAGCTACAGGGTAATGAGAGGGTGTCCTGAGAGTAAACACTTGGGTCTTTTAGCTGATTCTACTTGGATGAGTGTTTCACTTCACAGTGAGAGTTATTTTGGCATTGCCATCTCTAAACTTGATGTGTGAATGAGACTGCCAAGCTGTGTTTTGAAAGAGGGATGTAGGGGAGGTTTGCATGTTCTAATGGTGCTGTTTTTTAGAGTTTGCATAAGCCCTTGAGAAATAAAATAAAGCATTACAGAGACAATAACAGTTCTGTGGCACATGATCACACATGCTGTTGCCAAGAGCTTCTTAGAGGGTTTTGTCTTGGAAAACCGCAGACTTCTCGTCAGTAGCTTTTTGCTTAGTGGCACCACTCAGCTATCTTCTCATTTTAAACTATTACTTGCAAACAGAACAGTCCTTTTATATTACAACTTTTAGGCGAATATATGAGGGCTATGATACACTTTTGGATCACATCCCTAAGGATGATGCCAGGACACTCACTGTGTTTCTGAAGATGAGGTTCCAGCTATCAAACGGGATGTTCAAGGGGTCCCACTCAACCTCTACTGAAGTCTCTCTAACCGATTTGAATTTCAGACCCTCAGGTTCAGGGAGATCTGATCGTAAGATAGAGCAGCTTAGCAGAATATACTCAGGACAAAATAACAAGTAACTTTCCCATGCATTAGATGATGTGTGACTTACGTGTGGCGACTCTGGCACTGACAGGGACACTCATCTTGCTGTTCAGGACAGCAAAGACACTGATTAGGTACTCTATACCAGGCTCGAGCTCCCTAATGGTGGCTGTCTTCTTTTCACCAGAGACTTTCATTTCCATCTCTAAACCGCCAGGAGCCGTAGGCGCATAGGTGATAAGATACTCTGTCACAAGCATCTCATTGACCCAGGCGAGGTCCACTGTTTCGGGGTCAACTTCAGTCACTGTAAGGTCTCTGGGTGGGGAGACTGTGGATTGAAACAGATCAAACTTCATCTTAGTCAAGAACCTCCGAGTCAAAAGATAACACGCATAACTTGGAAAACAACATCTCCTTGAAATTGTGTCACAATTTGTGGGAAAGAGAAATGTTAAGATAAATACTTTATCCAATGATAGCTTAATGTGTAGAGACAACTAAGTAAGCCATTCATGGTTGATTTCCTCAAATGTGTAAACGAAATGTAAACATTGCCTAATGCCTAACCCACTGGCTCAACCAATTATGTGCAGTTTGGGGAAGAATTATGGGTTTGTCTGACCAATGGCAGATATGGAGGAGTGTTTGAAAACCGATATTTTAGCAAATTTTGTCTGGTGACGCTAAGCTTAATACACATATACCTTAAGTAATTTATATTTACATCTGCTTCATCTTTGAGAAAGTATAATAGCCAAAACTGTAAGTAAAAGCTATACATGTACAGTGTTATATATTCAATGTGAGTTATAGTGACTTACTTTCAGAGCAGTCGTCGCCAGTGAAGCCTAAATCACATATGCACATTCCATTCAGGCATTGGCCTTGGTCATTGCAGTTTTCTGGGCAGGTCAGAACAGAGCAATCCACACCAGTGTAGCCTTCAAAGCAGATGCATTTTCCATCTTCACAGTAGCCACGGTCCAAACAGTTGTTAGGACACATCTTTGTACCACAGTCCTCCCCAGTGAACCCACTGTTACACACGCACTGGCCATTTACACAATATCCTCGGTTATGGCAGTCACTGGGGCATGTCAACTCGCTGCAGTCATGGCCTGTAAAGCCAGTGTGGCAAACACACTTGCCATCCACACACTGTCCACGGTCATTGCAGTCATTGGGGCAGGTCTTGATATTGCAGTCATGGCCTGTAAAGCCAGTGTGGCAAACACACTTGCCATCCACACACTGTCCACGGTCATTGCAGTCATTGGGGCAGGTCTTGATATTGCAGTCATGGCCTGTAAAGCCAGTGTGGCAAACACACTTGCCATCCACACACTGTCCACGGTCATTGCAGTCATTGGGGCAGGTCTTGATATTGCAGTCTTCCCCAGCAAAACCATCATGGCAAATGCACTTGCCATCTACACACTGTCCACGTCCATGGCAATGATTGGGACAGGTTTTGATGCTGCAGTCTTCTCCAGCAAAGCCATTGTGGCAAACACACTTGCCATCTACACACTGTCCACGTCCATGGCAATGATTGGGACAGGTTTTGAGGCTGCAGTCTTCTCCAGCAAAGCCATTGTGGCAAACACACTTGCCGTCCACACACTGTCCACGTCCATGGCAGTGATGGGGGCAGGTCTTGACACCACAATGTTCTCCAGCAAAGCCATCATGGCAAATGCACTTGCCGTCTATGCACTCTCCTCGTCCATGGCAGTCATTGGGACAGGTCTTGATGTTGCAGTCTTCTCCAGCAAAGCCCACTTTGCAAATGCACTTCCCGTTGACGCATCGACCATGATCGTGACAGTTATTGGGGCAGGAAAGCTCTGAGCAGTCGTCACCTTCATATCCAGAATCACAAATACACTCACCATCGACGCACTGTCCTCGGTCATTGCAGTTGTCGGGGCAGGAGAGAATGCTGCAGTCCTCGCCCTCGAACCCGGGGTCACATATGCACTTCCCATTGAAGCAGTGACCTCTCTGATTGCAGTCATTGAGACAGGTGAGCTTGGAGCAGTCATCTCCGCTGTACCCAATATTGCAGACACACTGTCCATTGACACACCTGCCACGGTGGTTGCAGTTTTTGGGGCAGGTAAGCTCCCCACAGTCCTCCCCAGTAAAGCCCTCATCACAATAGCAGGTTCCATTGTCACAGCGGCCACGGTCATAGCAGTCGTTAGGACAGATGAGCTCAGAGCAGTCAAACCCCGTCCAAGGTTCATCGCATACACATTCGTCATCCACACAGCGCCCCCTGCCAAGGCAGTTGTTTAGGCAGTTGGTTAAACTGCAGTCTTGACCGATGAAGCCCTCCTCGCAGAGGCAAGCCCCGTCGATGCAATCTCCATTCTCACCGCAATCTACAGGACACAGCTCGATACTGCAGTCCTCCCCACCGAAGCCCTCGAAGCAGACACACTTTCCATCCTCGCAACGGCCTTGATCCTGGCAGAAATTCGGGCACTCTGGCTCAGAGCAGTTGACTCCCTTCCAACCGGGCTCACACAAACAGCTGCAGGTCTCAGTGCTGTAGTTGCCACGGCCACTGCAGTAGGGTTTGGTTGTGACTTCACCTGAGAAAGAGAGTGAAAAACGCTTTCATGCTGGTTTAGGTGGGGATGGGAATTGTACAGTACACTGGTTGAGCTTCATTTTTTTGATTCACTAAAAAGAATTGGCTTGTTATGGTTCGAACACATTTTGTTTATGAAACCAATGAAAAATCTGATTTTACATGTTTGCTTTGAGGTCATGGTAAAAGACTAAGAGTCACTTGTGAGGATGAAATTAATCAAAGTATCTAAATATATGCAGTCATAGAAGGAATTTTTGGGGAGGCTGATATAATCTTGTTCAAACCAACAATAGATTGCAGCAGGTTTGAATTTTATATGTTTAGAAATAATTACACTCATGTATACAAACTACAAAGGATCATGATACAGAAAGCCTTGAATGGTTACCTCTTACAATTATTGGTTATGTATGCGGAAGAAGGTGAATTTCATTTAGCTTGTGCCCTTCTCCTTTTTTCAGCCGCATTTTGGATGGAAGCAAAAAACCGTGTTGAGTCATTCTAACTGGTCAGTTTAGCAATAAGTGGAACATTTTGCTGTCAGCTTCGTCTAACATTCATGTAGTGATTAAAACTCGTTTGGGCTACCACATATGAAAGAAAAAGAAAAATCTTTATTTTTACATTATAAGCATCTGTGTTATGCATGTTAGCCGATACATTTTTTAGAACAAAAGTTAAAGGTATAGTTCACCAAAAATGAAAATGCTTTCATCATTTACTTACCCTCATGTTTTTCCAAAACTGTTGGACTGACTTTCTTCTGTGGAACAAAGATATACTGAGAAATGTCTCAGTTTTGTTTGTTTGTGTCCATTATACAATGAAAGTCAAAGGTCACCAAAATGTTTGGTTACCTACATTCTTTAAAATATCTTCTTTTGTGTTCTGCAGAAGAAAGATACTCATACAGATGTCCTGTGCTGTTTCATTCAACCACTGGTTACACAGATTTGGAACAACATGAGGATGAGTAAGTGATGACAGAATTTTTAATTTTGGGGTGAACTCTCCCTTTAAGTTTAATCAGCTTTGTTATGTTTCTTTTGAATACATTTGTAATGAGACTGAGCCTATAATGGACTGCCAAATTATCTGTTACAGTATATTAGGCCTCACCTGTAACCTGAGCACTACAGCAGCTTGTTCCACTGGTGCACTGCTCCCTTAGACTGGATACCTCTGCTTCCAGCATTTCCAGTCTGTTCAGAAGGTCCTTCAGGTCAGGCATGTGGTTATCACAACCGCAAGCTTGCTTGGGAATGTTAATCCTATGTGTGAAAACGATCTGATTCTCCCCATCCATGGTGTGTTCTATGTGCTGGTCAGATTGTTCCGATTTTGGCTTCATTTCGGTTGTTCCTGGTGAATCCAAGTCCACCGAGCACATGGATCCAGTGGGAACGTTGATGTTGTACACATGGTTGAAAACCACAGGCTGGTCAGGACTTGGGAGGGTCAAGTTCTCAGTGGTTGGTGACAGTGATTCTCTTCTGTGTCTAATTACTTTTTTAACCAGGCCAGCACTAGAGAGATGAACTAAAACGGCTACTGCCACAGAGGCCAGTAGCACACCTCGCATCCCCATGCTGATTTTATCTCACAGGACTCTTCTTACTGGCGTGAATGTTCAAATTGTTTCAAGATACAGGATGAGGTTCCTATCCTGAAAAAAAGAGTTCAATTAGAACAGTCCACTTCATTCCAATGCATTTCCAGTGTGAACAGATAGAGATCTGATTGCACTTACCCTTGCAAAATGGAAAATGAATCATACAAATGACATCAATGATGAAAAATTCTATAATTTAATGAATTTTAAAAACATGGAAGGAAAATGCTTAAAAAGCACAATTTAAAACTACACACAATAAATGTTAATTTAAATAATATTAATACATATTGAAATAAATCTATATCAACATTAATAATAAAATAATATAAATAATACGTATACAATAAGCAATTTATTTTAATTAAACAAAAACAATTCAATTCACATTTAATTGTGTAGTGCTTTTCACAATACATATTGTTTCAAAGCAGCTTTACAGAAAATGCATGTTTCTACATTACAATAAAGTAATCTGTTATCAGAGGTGACTGTGCAAAGTAATGTCCATATGTCAGATTGTACAGTTCTTAGATAATAAAAAATAAAGCAGTTAGCTAACATCATGTATTAATGGTAGATTTTTTTTTGTTAATAGACAAAATAAACTAAGGAAAGAGAAATTAAATGTTTTAACCTTTGACTTGTGCACCCTTTCCAACTAGAATGAATCATATTTAAATAAATCATATCACACCAGGTAGCATATTCAGAATAAAATTTCTGGGGGAAAACCCCCTAAAACAATTAAGTATACATGGCAGTCAGCAACACTGCAGGGAAGACAGACACTAAGCACAACTCAGAAAGATCAACTCTGGCCAATAAAAGCAAGGCAAACTTCAGCTCAGGAGCGAGGTCTCCAGCAGCGTTTCCTATGACAGGCTGCCATGACACACAGCAGGCAAAACCTGAATCTGAGGAGCGTACTCTCTTCTCTGACGCTCTGCCCACAGCCCATGCTGACAGATTAATACTAGCGCGGAAGAGACCATCTGCAGCGCTTCCGCTAGCGTGGGTGTTCAGAGTTCACGCTTCTCATAAAAGTTAGCTTTCTTTGACCATTCTCCAGACAGCAGCAGAGATTTGCATTAAAACACAATACTTTTCTCATTAAAAGAAGTTAATAGTTATAGTTTTTGCAGGCCTCAGGAGGCTTGTCACTTACTAAGTGCATTGGTCTGTTAAAAATTTAATTAAAGTAAAATGGAAACAGCTCTAAAACCTTTTCAAGCATGTTACTGCGCTGTGGTATGGAGATTGAGGATGCCTATGTTTAAAGAGTCCTGATGTGCATGTCATATGGTCACATACTTGCCAATTTGATTGCAGATTCAGTTTTCCATATAGTAGTTTTCCCAAATGTTATGAAAACCAAATGGGATCCATTTAAGATGGAAATAACCGCCTTCCAAAAGTGCTGACACACCGACATTTTCAATACCATAAAACACCCAATATTTATGTCAAATTTGGAACATTTATGTGCATTTTCCAGCTTGCATCTTATCTAGCCATTTTTTTCAAACATTCAGTCATGTTTAACCCTTTAACTGAATACTTTTCATTTGATTTTTAAAAGGTACTTTATATTTTAAAGCATCAAATTTGAACAAGCTATTTTATGATATTAAAGAGATTCCTTCTGTCATAATTTCAAACATATTTGTGTGAACGTTTTTGTCCATAAAAAGTCAATCGGGTCAATGACATTTTTTTTATCTTCCACTGAAGACTTGCATGTTAAAACAGCATGAGGTGGAGTAAAGGATGACCTTTTTTTTTGGTGAACTATCTCTTTAAGGCAAACCTTCCCATGCACAGTCCTTCAGTAACAAAAGAGCAATACATAGTTGCACAGATCAAAATTTTGTCACGGCTGCAGGGAACTGACCCAAAGCCGCAGCTCGCAAGGTCAACAGTAGGTAATATCTTGCCAGGATCTGTTTAGTGAGTGGAGAGCTCGATTTGACATGTGATTAGCGGGACTGACAGATGAGCTCCAGCGAGAGGGATCCCACGACTGCTGCCGCCCATCCGTGATTAGACAGACAGGGATGAACGCTTCTGTGATGGAGAGCTTAAGGGGGGCTCGATGATGGGAGATTCCCGATCTGGACCCTCGGGGGCGACGGGACCTACCCCGCTTCTTGTTCCTCACATCTAAACCCTGGGATTAAATCAGCAAAATAGGCAGAAAATTGCTTTGAGTCGCTTTGCAGTTTTAGTTCTGGATGGGTAGTTGGCTTTTTCACTTTGAAGCCTGGCTTGTTGCCACAAGAATCGAAAAAAGAAAATGACTCTGAAGGACCAAGCTGGTCTTTGTAAGAATGTGCCCTTAACCCCTGGCGAAGGGTGGACTGTAAATAAATGGCATTTTTTTTAAAATATGTAATTTAATGATGACAGCTTGGCTTAAATGGCAGCAATGATGGATATGCGTAACTAAGAAAGAATTAGCAGTTATTAGATTGGAAAAGATTTATGTATTTTTTGCATTTTGAACAACGAGAAATAGACAAAGCCATAGTCTCTTTTATTAGAGCTCCATCAATACAGTGCTGAGCTCAGAGCAGTATGCTAATGCTGCTGCTTACTGGCACTTTCAGATAAACCAGACACAATGTGACTGCTGCTTTCTCATGCCAGGTCTAGTTTTTATACTTTGTTACTTTCTCAGACTCTGGCTGGGCCAGTTGGCTTCCATGTGTCTATGTGAAAGGAATTTCAATGGGGAGTGAACCTGCTGGCACACATATTTAGTGCCAGTGATCTAAATTGATCTAAAGTGCTGAATGCTGACAAGAGCATTTGAAAGGAAGAATACCTCACACAGAGACCAAATGAATACTTTTGTAAGTCATAAATTATACAGTGACAGTTAAAACGATTCTTCCACCACACCAATGTGCCACAAACAAATGAGCTTATTGCTATTTGTTAAATTAGAAGTTTGTAGTTGTTTACATAATTGAGCAATTAGCATGTTAGTTGTTTGGAAGTGAGGCATATTGGGCTGCAATTAAATTTACACTACAAAGACATAAAACATAAAAGGAATATGCCAAAAAACAGATTACAAAGTCCAAAACATATTATTATTCCAAACTGGATGGAAATTAGTAACACATTATATTTAGACGACAACTGTTGATGGGGCAGAAATAAAATACATCAAAATAAAAAAAATAATTCAGGTCAAAGCTAGGCTTTTCTTCCTGTTTTCAGAGAGCCAATGGTATGGTGATCACCCGATAATGGAAAATGATCTGTTAAATAGCATTTATCTGACTTCAGCATGCAGTGGGTTATTGAACTGTAAAAAATGCTGTGGGTGGCTCTTACAGTTCGTTGTTCAGTTTCATATCCAATGATTAGAGATGACATTTATCCACAGTCTGCTGAACAGAGGGGAACCACAACTCTTCCTCAGTTTATTCCTATGAAATCATCAAGCAGACTCAGTTTTGTAGGTCACCCATGACAGAAAGCACTTGCCTTCCCTGGGACCAGCCTTAATATGGGTCGCCCGCTGTGGTGAATGAATTGGTATTGTCTCGACTCAATTCACCTTAATAGATGCCATAAAAATGCCCTGACAGTTTGTTTAATACTAGGAAGGAGTCAATGATGAAGAAATATCTCTCCCAGAGGTATGCTGTATACACACTGCATCATTTTGTCAAACATCATTAAAAATCAATACGATGAAGTTGAGAAAATACTTCTTAATCCAGTCAGCGAAGCAGTAAACTTAGTGGAAGGGGACTCAAAAGTGTCTGGTCTGGGTTGAAGACCAAAAATGCTGATAAATCATTATTAAAAACATTATAAAAATGAGTACACTGTGAAACTCTCATTGAGAAGTAGATGCTTATTGATTGCATGGTTTCCAAGGTCATAATCAGACAGAGGGCTGCTGAAACCAGCACCATGAAGCAGCTCATAATCATCCAACACGGAGATGGATTTCCAGACTAGCTCATAACGCCGCTCAATGGTGTGTACTTGGATCGATGGCAAAGTATACAGCCACTGTTATTGTTTCATAAATGGATTTGGAAGTCATCGCCTTCCTGAGCAATGCTCATTTAGGAGGAGTGGCTCAGTTGACCATTACACTTACCATTTTATTCTGTTCTTTCTTTCTATAGTTCTGCAGTTCTTCTTCTCTCTTACCAATATTTTTCCTCTCTCTGACATCTTGTTACTTTTTGCACTGTGAACTGAATGCAGAATGTGCATTGTGGCTGTCCACTGGCCTCAAACGAACTGATGATTGTCTATGCCTCACTACTCTATTTTGCTTGGCATGTCTGGGCTTCAAAAGGAAGTCAGTCACAGCTAGCACTGGGTTCACAGAGCAGATTCAAACAAATGAATATGTCTGGCAATCATAAACACGCAGACGTGCTGTCTCACTGCTGTATGTGCAATGTGAGCTTAAAGGTCTCTCAAATGCCACATAATGTGATCTCTCACCTAACGCATTCTCTTGGCATTTCTCCCATCGGTGGATTGACAAAGGTGTGAAACCAGAACCTAAGAACATACGGCACTGTATATTATATTTCCAACTGCATCATTCTCTTAATAATGAGATTAAGTTATTATTACTCTTGCATCTGATTTCATTGCCACAGCACAGCTTAAAGGTATTTTTTCTTTAATTCAACATTAAATCAACCCCAAACGACATAATTTTCTGTTTTTATTACCGATCATTTCATTACTGTGAGGTATTTTCTCTCTATATAGTAGAGACATAAGATTGCATGCAGACTGATAAGTGAAAGGCAATGCAGGTTGTTTTCACAATGAAAAATGGGTTTCATGACAGTCGAGGCCCATTTGCAGAGCTCTAATGATGCTGGGAGATCTGATTGCACCGATAGGAGGTTTGTGTGTGTGTGTGTGTGTGTGTGTAAGAGTGATAAGCTGGTCTGGTGTATGGGCAGAGATAGAGGTGTTTGCACTGCGCTGATGGACCTGCGGTTCGCTGACATTGCTGCACTTTCACCAAAGAAGCATTGAGACCGAACTCGATAGAGCTTTGGTGACATTGCCAAAGGTGAACTCTACCATGCTGATTAAGGAGAAATGGAAAGTTTAGGACATGTCAGTCAACATTTGAGACCAAAGACACTGGAGAAGTCTACTGGGAATGAAGTTGAATAATTCCTGACTTCAGCTTCCATGTGTGCTTTCTCTTAAAGTCCAGATGGAAGGAATGAAGAAGGAACATTTGTTACTTGCTGTCTCATTTTACATTTCCAGCACCGGTGACCCTGTGTTTATTAGCTTAACCTCTGTTACAGCCAGAAAAGCAGCCTCATATGTTCAGACCTTAAAAGCTCTAAAAAAAACTTTTGAGCATCCCATTTGTCGCAGCAAAATTCAAACACTATTTCTGTACTATGCAGACAGTCCCTTTCACATCTTGGTCTTTTTTTCTTTTCTTAAGGATATTGTGGTTTGGCAGGAACGGCAAAGAATAGAAGTCCATTTTATAATCCAAAAGTCCATTTGCTACAGAGTAAAAAAAAAACGTATTTGAACACAGCGGTCATTTTTTCACAAGCACGCATCTTTCCCTTCCCAAATGGCAAGCTATTGATCATTCTTTCCTATTCTAGAAAGAATAAAAGCTACCATGTGTCTTGTTTGCGTATAACAGGAAATTGCTTTTTCTCCAACAACAAGAAATTGTGTATTTCCTCTTGCTGACTGAGAAAAGATAAGCCATGATCAAGTGTGTATAGTTGATTTACAATGGCAGTTCTCTTAAAAAGGCCCTTAAAATGCACTCTGCCAAATCCAATTACTTACTCTACATACCTATAGTAATTAGTTTCATCACAATATGATCTTTTGGGATTGAGCAACAAACTCTTTCAACTCATTGACCCCATTGAATTTTTTTTTTCCTGGAAAGAAAAATCAGTTTTCCCACACTGAAATGCAAGAATATTGACTGGGAGATTAAGAGATCTATTTCGCCTGTTCAAATTTCAGGCCGAAATGTCATCAATTGAGATAATCTGAGCTTTGTAGATTTCCCTTTTACAACTTCCCAAATTAAAACTTCTGCTAACCTAAAACTCTCTTATTATCCCAGGCATATAGTGACAAATGCATTCGAGCATGCGAGGTCACTGACAACTAATCAGAATTCTTCACTTCTGTGGAAGACACGTGTGCTCATCACTTGGCTTCCATCGGTGGGGACACTGTCTGTGCTCTGAGCCCATGGCTTTCCTAACCATGTTACATTAGCATCAGACAGCCATTAAAACCATCTGGGGCTGCAACACTTTAACACACTGAAGTCTACTGAGGAAATCTTTGTTCACTGATGCCAACAAATCATCCTGAATGCCTCTATGGCCAATTTGGAGTGTGGAGGAAAATAAACCCTTTTTACAGAGCATATTTCACAGACAGACAGACAGACAGACAGACAGACAGATAGATAGATAGATAGATAGATAGATAGATAGATAGATAGATAGATAGATAGATAGATAGATAGATAGATAGATAGATAGATAGATAGATAGATAGATAGATAGATAGATAGATAGATAGATAGATAGATAGATAGATAGATAGATAGATAGATAGATAGATAGAGCATATTTCACAGACAGACAGACAGACAGACAGATAGACAGATAGATAGATAGATAGATAGATAGATAGATAGATAGATAGATAGATAGATAGATAATCTGTCTATCAGATAGATAGATAGATAGATAGATAGACATACAGACAGACAGATAGACAGATGATAGACAGACAGACAGACAGATAGATAGAACGATAGACAGACAGATAGATATATAGACAGAATGATAGATAGAATGATAGATAGAATGAAAGAACGGTAGATAGATAGATAGATAGATAGAATGAAAGACAGAACGATAGATATATAGAATGATAGATAGATAGATAGATAGATAGATAGATAGATAGACAGACAGATGACAGACAGACAGACAGATAGATAAAACGATAGACAGACAGATGGATAGATAGACAGATAGACAGACAGACAGATCTGTCTATGAGAGAGATAAATAGATAGAACGATATAGATTGATAGATGGACAGACAGATAGACAAAACGATAGATAGAATGATAGAAAGAATGAAAGAATGAAAGATAGAACGATAGATATATAGAATAATGAATAGATAGATTAGACAGATAGATAGATAAAACAAAAGAACGACAGACAGACAGATGGATAGATAGAACGATAGATAGAACGATAGATAGATAGATAGACAGAACGATATAGATAGATAGACAGAACGAAAGATAGAATGATAGAACGATAGATAGAACGAAAGAACGTTAGAAAGATATAGAGAACGATAGATAGATAGATAAAACGACAGACAGACAGACAGACAGACAGACAGACAGACAGATAGATAGATAGATAGATAGATAGATAGATAGATAGATAGATAGATAGATAGATAGATAGATAGATAGATAGATAGATAGATAGATAGATAGATAAAATGATATAGATAGACAGACAGAGAGACAGACAGAACGTTAGATAGAATGATAGACAGACAGATAGACAGATAGATAGATAGATAGATAGATAGATAGATAGATAGATAGATAAAACGATAGACAGACAGACGGATAGATAGAACGATAGATATAACTACAGACAGACAGACAGATAGACAGATAGATAGATAGATAGATAGATAGATAGATAGATAGATAGATAGATAGATAGATAGATAGATAGATAGATAGATAGATAGATAGATAGATAGATAGATAGATAGATAGATAGATCAATATAGATAGACAGATAGACAGAACGATAGATAGAATGATAGAACGAAAGAACGTTAGATAGATAGAATGAAAGATAGAAAGATATATACTGTATATATATATAGAGAACGATAGATAGACAGGTAGATAGATAGATAGATAGATAGATAGATAGATAGATAGATAGATAGATAGATAGATAGATAGATAGATAGATAGATAAAACGACAGAGAGACAGATAGATAGACAGACAGATAGATCAATAGAAAAAATTATTGAGATAGACAGACAGAGACAGACAGAACGTTAGAAAGAATGATAGATATATAGAACGATAGAATGATGGAACGATATACAGACAGACAGACAGACAGACAGATAGATAGATAGATCGATAGAAAGATAGATAGATAGACAGACAGAGAGACAGACAGAATGTTAGATAGAATGATAGAACGATATACAGACAGATAGACAGACAGATAGATAGAAAAAATTATATAGATAGACATACAGAGACAGACAGAACGTTAGAAAGAACGATAGAATGATGGAACGATATACAGACAGATAGATAGATAGATAGACAGATAGATAGATGGATAGATAGGAGGATAGACAGACAGACAGACAGACAGACAGACGAGAACACAGAGGGTACAATATCTGTTCCAGTTCAGGAGCAGTGCTGACAGCTGTTCAAACAAAGGCTAGTTTCCCACTCAGCTTTGTTCTGAGTGGCACTGTCAATGAATACACTGCACATAGCATCATAAAACATTTAAACACCCCGCCTAGGCAACAACCATGTGTTGTTGGCACTTCTGATGTCCTCAAGATAATGATGGCAAAAGAGCTGAGGAGGAATTAACAACCCATGAGGCATTTACATTATCACACAACAAAACAGATCAATATATTATAGCTACTATGACTTCTGAAAAGTCACATCACATTTCTTTTTCTCAAAAAAGAACTTAAAGAAAACTTACTCAACAATCTTATATGCAATCATTAGCTTTGCCCTTCATTGCTAACAACTAAGTTTCCTTCACTCGAAGCAGAACCTCCCTCCTATTTAGCACCCTTGGATCCAGGGGGTCTCTGTCATTGACCCCACCCCCCATATATACATACTCATAAGGCTTCTCTCAGCCCCTGCGTTCCCAGCCTAGACCCCTCCCACTACCACCACACACACGCAAATCTTCTCATCACCTCAGTTTCTCCATTCTCCTAAACGGATACAACCCATCAGTAAGTACAGCGTACTGATCCGAGAATCCCCCCCCCACCACCACCACCGTGGATGAGGCGAGAGAAAAGAGCTGGCAGCTGACAGCGGAGCTGCACGAGGAGCACCAGACTAAAGAGAGAAGCGCTAACACAAACCAGCTGCTGCTCTCCCTGGCTGGAGAGAGGACAGAGATCCTGGGAGGGATGACACCGTCTGCCAGGTAACGGACACTGGCTGACCTACAGCTGCAGACAAGCCCACCACGTGTAGAGCTACGCCAAACTATCAGAGCGCACGCTACTGTATTCCCCCCTCAAGGGGAGCTGGAATAATTGCTGAGCTTAAAACAAATGTGGATCACTTCCCCTATAAACCATAATGAGCAGCCTAAAGGAAGCCAATGCATCACTAGCAGCCTTAAAAGTCCCTGGCTAACATTTACACTGCCAGATTTTTTTTTACCTTTAGGGGTACAACATCTTGTCACTGCAGTCCCCTTAAAAGGACAACTTTGTACATTGTCTACCCCTAAAATGTGCATATATATATTATATACCTTAGAGTAGTAATATTTGCCAACCCTTAAGGCACTACTTATAAACCTTTTAAAAGGTAAATAAGGTAAGATTTCCCTTTAAGGCTACTGCCCCAGTGACAAAGTGTACAATCTGAGACTTTTCACAAAGTGGTAAGGCATTCTTCAGATTTAGCATTAAAACACATCCAACACAGACACGCTCATAAAGAGTACAGAGTCATTTAACTTGCAAATCTGTCACACTAACAGGTAGATGGTCTTGGAGCATCACAGCTTACCTTAGTGAGACCAGTCCTCCTCTACAGACTTAGAGACGTGCCTCTGTCTAGGAAAAGCGACGTGAAGCTAAACGAAAGGTTGAAACCATCAGGAACTCTTGAATTGCTTTTTAATTTTCTGTAGACAGATGACAGTCCTGTCATTCCCTTCTGTCTCTCTGCTCTCAGTGAGAGTGTGCCATCCAGCCTGTGTACGTCTGCTGATGCTGAGAGAGGGAATGAGTGAAAGAGAGAGAGAGAGAGGAAGGGAGGGAGGGAGAAGTCCCTTTCTTTTAAACAGTAGACACTTTGCGGTCAGACCCCACTCCCACCTACCACTCTTATACGCACCCCCCTCCCCTTTCGCCCTCTGACTGGAAGCTGAGGAGCTGAAACGGGATGCCTCAAGGCTGAGTCGCAAACTCACACACACACATTGGGAAGAGAGGAGGAGAAAGAGACAGAAAGAGAAAGAGAGAGACCATTTACTATAAACTGGAGCAGCCAATGATTGGATGAAAGGGATATATCCCAAGCTGCATTAACATACATTTCAGATTAGAACAGGGAGGAAAAAGGAGGAAGGACCTTGTGTGTTTGATGACGAGCATGACACGGCGGATGATGGGATTATGTACGGTGATCAGCATAATCAACCTTTAATCCCCCAAATCCTACCTCACTATGGAAAAAAATTCAAAAAGACTTGTTTTAGTCAAGGTTGCTTCTCCCTTTTTTAAAGCTTAAATGTCTACTCTAAGTGGAACCATCTCTATGCCGCAACCTCCGGCTTTTCGTGCTCTCCTGAGCTTCTGTAAATACTCTTCCCTTTCAGAGTGTCAGGTTATTCACCTTTCCATCTGCACTACCCACAAACACCTCCCCCACCTGCACTGCAGGTAGAAGAACATCCAACCAAGCCAGCTGCAATTACCGGACTATATATGGCATCCAGCGTTTTGTGCAAACAGGAGCTTTTCTTCAAACAAACATGGAACAAAGAGCCCGGCAGATCGGATTTTACACGCGTTTCATTTCAAACGAACAGTGATGCTCTTCAAGACATATTTCATTAGAGATGAGATGATGTCTCTCATCGTGTCAAAAACTGACCTTTAGTTCTCTTGGGGGGCAACACGAAGGCACCCGTGGAGACGGGGAGCTCGAACCCCCAGAGAGGAATCAAGAACGCTTTTTTTCTGATGAGAGAAAATCAACCCCCATCAGCCTGTGCTCAATAAGTCATGAATCTGTGATGATTTGCCTGGTCGACATGGGATTTTAATCTAGGTCTCATTTCAGAACATTTCAAATCAGGCCCAGCCACTGATCAAATTCAAACTCATGTATTTTTTTTTTCTGTTACAAGGCAAACATGATATCAATTTCAGGTTTGCCTTGAATGGAAAAGTACAATATGAAGAACGGGAGATGAACACAGGCATAGGATATTTCCCAAGGTGAACTCCACAGAGAGATGCTCTTGGTAATGGTGTGCGTGTTTGTGTTTTTCTGCAAATGTATATATGTGGTAGGTGGTGAAGGGAAATGCAGCCAGAATGAGATGTGAACTCCCAAACCTTTATAAGAGACTTTATGGAAGTGCATTAATATAACGCCCACCATAACCATTATGTCATATATCCAGCCAGTATGTCTATCTATTTATGTCCGTTGATGTGCGCGGAACATAATATAACTGAAGTGCATTAAAATCAGTAAGTGATTCTGTGCGTGTGTGTGTGTTCATGTCTCTTTCTCAGGGTCTCTATCTTCCTGAGAACACATATCACCCTTCTCCATCTGTTCATACTCTCACCTTTTTCTCACACTTTTTCTTTCACCGAATCACAGCGCTTCACAGGGAATAGCAGTGGGAGCGGGAGCATTCCGGGTTCGTCAGGCGTCCCCGTGCTGTTGACATCTATGCATTCACCAGCTGATTTCCCAGATGACAGCAGTGTGCGCTTCATTCCCCATCAGCCAATTTCTTCTAGCCGCAACCAGACACAAGCTACAGGAAGTGAGCTTTATTTGTGAACGTTTAGACTCGTAATAGTGTTTAAAAAAAGGCACATTTAGAGTCAGAGAGGAAAATAGTCTACCCCTTCAAATACTTGAGTCTGGTTGTTAGGAATCTACTTGTTATAGTTACAAGATATTTAAAGTGGTTTAACTACTGTCAAGCTATACCTGCATGCAGCTCACTGACACAGCAGCAACAGAGTCATCATATATACAGACTTCCCTATCATGCACATATTCAATCAACTCTAGATTTTCACTATCTATACACAATTATGCACAGACACAACACTTACAAAAACGTAGTTGGCTACACTATGGGCAAATTACAAAAAAGTTGCAATGGTGCTTAGTAAATGTTTCTTGGTTTAAGAATTTTTTTTCATATTTTACACTGAAAACAAGTCGAAAGTGCATTAAGAAGTCAGTTAATGCAGTGTAAATATATTCACTACAATATATTGCAGTGTAAATATATATATATATGATTATATAATGTATTACAACCTGACCAAAGCTGTATTTTTCTGGCACAAAAAAAGTGTTTATAAATGAACGAACAAACAGCATCAAACTTTTAAAGATAATTTATATAACCAATTTAAAAACGGTAACGAATAGCAGCATTTAATGAAATATTTAGAGATGAAATATAACCACGCAAAATGTGTGTATATTTATTTATGGTTCATTCAAATGAACTGATTCACTAGAATTAATTAGACTTTCCAACACTAAACAGGCTTAAAAAGCATTTAGAAGTGCGTGTTTGGTTATTATCTCAGCTCACTTGGCTGAGTAAACCTATGTACGCAAACAATATGCTATAAAAAACAATGTATCATTTGGTCTTGTTACATTGCTTGAAAAAAGAAGCTTGTTACTGGAATAAAACAAGATTGTTTGGAAAAAGAAGCTTGTTACTGGAATAAAACAAGATTATTTTAAAAGCAAAAAAACTATTGCCAAACTACAGAAAAATGTAGCTCCCCAATACTGTTCCTAATATCTTATAAAAGATATTCAACCACAAAGCAAAGGTTCTGTTCTTACAATGTCTCAGTACATATTTTTCCACATTACTCTACATTTGCTGGCTATAACTGAATCTACCCAAAGGTACTGGCTCTACAAATTAAAGAAAAGGTTGCTGAGAGCACAGCTCGCATTCAGTTCATTTACCCACGTAATTGGTGGCAGTCTATTCGAAGAAAGAGCGAGGGCTTGACGGCTAGCAGGGCACTTTCTATCAGCGCAAGAGAGATCTAATTATGAGCAGAGAAGCCCTGCCTGCAGCTGGGTAAAGTGTCAGAGGAGAAGGGAGCGATGATGAGACAGGACTCACAACTCACAGTCACCCTCATGACCCGGACAGACCTGTTTACCTCATTAAAAATGAATTCACAGGTAGTATTGGCTTGTGTCTCCTCCCAAGTCTTTGCGTTATCTATTATGCAGGAGGGAGGCCGTGCAGGACGGGTTAACTCAGGGAAGGTCATTTGGACAGCTTGTGGAAGTAACTTCTGGAGTGTTGCAACCCCAGCTTTGCCACCAGGGATGGGAAATTAAAACACTAATGGCCTGTGTGAGTGTAAAAAGCATAGATTAAGTGGAAGGAGAAACTGGCCATCAGTGAAATGGGCTTGCGGGCATAATTGGGCTTGATTCATAATTTATAAAGCAAAGATAGGGATTGGCATGAATAAAGAGCGGCACAGGAAGAGGTGAAAGGCTATTTTCTGCCCTCCACATTTATGCATTAATCCAGCATAGGCGATGTGGTGAATTATGGTCATTAGGCTTTGGGAAACGAAAAACAGCCATTATGGCCCTCAAGGGTAGCTTTTTACATAATATAGAGACCAAAACAAGAGAGGGGATGAAAGAATTGTTGCAGACACATGTGATTTGGTGATATAGTCAGTGAGAGTGATGTTTCAGACCACACACAGGTCGGCAACGCTGTGCACGTACATAAAGAGCCTGTAAATTTCTGAGGACAAAGACGGCAGATGACCCCAGTGACCAGACAACCTCTGAGGGGTTCAGATCTCTGGAGCCACCGAAACTGTGTCAGACTTTGCTTCTGCTTTTGTTAGCTAATAGTAGATGAGCATCAGATGTATGTGAAGATCCATAAAAATGAAACATCAACATTTTTACCACATTTACCATAGGTCTTTTTTTTATCCATTTTGATGATATGATGGGGGGTCGGGGGGGAGGAAGGTGCAGCTCTCTAAAGAACATTTACTCGTTCAGGGTAGTTTAGCAAGCAGAATCTGCATCTTTCATTCTTCCTCAGTTCTGTATGTTTTTACAAAGACATGGTGTTTTTTTATCCAACAGGGCAATAGAAATGCCTACACATTCCTTTAACACCAACAGCGCTGAACAAATTATAGAAAAACAAATAAATGCTATCCTTCAGAGCAACCAACGACATTGTGAGTGCCGTGAAAGCAGTGGGTTGGGGGTTGACGGAGATATCAGTGCTCAAAAAGGATTCTATAGAGTGAATAAGAGATGCTTGCTTCCCATAGCTGAGACGCAAAGGCAGCACAAACACTCATACATCATTAACATTTATGCAAATATCAGCTACATTTGCAGGCTCGTTAGCAATTCTCAATGATGCAGGTTTAATGTTTATATTCATACATACATTTTCACAAATAATTAATTATGACTGTCTCAATAGAATTAAAACAAGGAAGACACACTATTATCGAGAACTTGCCTGCTTATATGCAGGTCTAGACAGAACCTGCTGACCTTTTTGTATTTGTTGTCTGATTTTATGGCAAAAATAAATCTGTGGAATGAATGTAAACGCCAAATGTGTTAAACAGAATGGAGTACTCTTATCGGCAGCTAAAAACATGATCAAATCAGTCAAACTATTTAATAAACAACAACAACACGCAAGATGTGGAACTTTAAATGACAGTCATTCCTATTCTGTGGAAATCTGCCGAACATGCAAAAACCTTTTATTCCTATCGACTACTTTTAACTGTTGCTTAAAACAAATCTAATGACACTGCACATACCAGCAATGTGTAGTTCTTATTTAAGGGATCCTATCAATAGATGAGAAGACCACCGAGATGGATTGGTATGCCAGCTGTATTTAATGCAGGAGAGTTCAAAGTAATCTGTTGAGGGACAGAAAGTGTTTTATTTTTACTATTCAATATATAAAATTATACTAAAACTGTCCAGGGCTGAAATGGCTACATGTTTATAGTGGACTGCCAGAGCAACATGTCATATTTCTCTCCTATGTTTTATGGAAATAAATGTACATTCTAAGAGTAAAACTACGACTAATGCCCACTTACCGACCTTTCGGGAAATCAGTTAGGACTGTCACCTAATTAATATTCATGAGCAAGGCTGATAAGGCTTACAATGTGATTTTCAGACTTTCTACACCCTTACTTGCTACGGTACTTCATTAAAAATGTTCTTTAAATGCCTTTTGTGTCATGCACTACAATTTTACAAGATACAAGATAGTGGAGGGACACTTTAAAACATAATGAATCTGATTCGGACCTCTTCTCTGACAGGCTTTAGTGATTGATGTCCAACTCTCCCTGAATGTCTGATATTTCACTCCTCTCGTCATCTCCGCTTCTTTTCTTTCAAGACACCCCATCCCTCCCTCTGTCCTGCTCCATCTGCCTTTACACAAACAGCTCTGATGACATTGTACAATGTCCCACAGATACCATGTGATCCCCAACCACCATCACGTACAACTCTGAGGAAAAAGAGTTAACGTCCTTTGACTTTCACCAGTTGTGACAAAAGACAACACTCTTATCCAGTGTCCCCTGCCTCTCCTTCCCTTCACAAAATAAATAGGGTAATACATCAGTTAAGGCATGTTGTGGCACCTTTATCACAAATGTGCAGTCTTTCTCTTCGCCCTATCGACTCAGGAAATATTGAGCTCAATATGAGCGTATATCCGGGCCCGCAGAGTATAAAGCCATATCTCCGGCAGTGCTGGGAATGAAGCGCCGCTTCCAGTGCTGAGTAGAGAGACAGACCGCCAGTTTGGACGGATGATTTATTCATACGAAGCAGGTAGAGGCACAAAACTGTGTGTCAGGGTGTATTTCTGCAGAGATTAAGATGTCCTAGAGGTTTATGTCTCTGGTTCTCCAAGCTAGGAGCGCAATAACACATGTTGACTGCATGCCACAGACAAGACTAAGCTTTGGTACATCTAGCAAAGCTTTACAAAGTTGTCTTTTCACAAGCACGACTACACACTTCACAAATCCTGTAGTTTAGGAAACTCTTTTATCTGTAGTCTACAACTGACATCAACTTAATCCTATATGGGATATTTGCATATATATGTGTATATACAGTATGTTGTAAAGAGCATGGGTTAAGGAAATACATCTTTTAAATTCGAAAATATTAAAATATTTTTAATTGAAACCATCAAATGGCAAAATATAT